ACGTTAAGTACGTTAAGTACGTTAAGTACGTTAAGTACGTTAAGTACATACTCAAGCTTAAGTACAAAGTTTAATTAAGTACTTAACGGTAATTACTTATTAATCGGTAATAAGATCGTTAATAATTATTACCAGTGGTATTACTGAGTAATAACACCGGTAATAACGTTGTACCTTCAGTCTTGGCCAAAGAAATATTTGCTTCCTATGTATTTCAAATGTAAAAAATCCCAACGGTCGAACATAGCAATTTCCGAACGAACGAACGAACAACATTTTTTTTAAATAAATTTCGAACGAACGAACGAGCAAAAAAAATAATTTTCAACTTTTCGAACGAACGAACGAACAAAATAAGTTTTTACAAAACTTTCGAACGAACGAACGAACAAAATAATTTTTTTTTATGTTGTCGAACGGTCGAACGAACGTTCGAAGCCAACACTAATTAGAACGTTATAAAGAATAAATTAAATTATATTAAATTAAATCAGAATTATATTTATCAGATGAAATCTAATGAGAAACAAATATTTGAGGAGCATTTTAGCATAATTATTATTGTTAATTTTAGATCAAATTCTATGTATACAATTGAAAATGGGCAATATATTGCGAAAATTAATAAACATTTAAATGTATATCAAAATTTTGGAAATTGTGGAAATTGCACGCATTTTTCAATTTTGTACAAATGGATGGATATGAACTGTCACTGGAAACAAAAAAATCTAAGAAAGTGAATCGCCCAAAAATGCTTTTCGAAAGAGATTAAAGATATTGTGGTATTGATATCTACCTTTGAACAATGTAAGTATTTTCCATTAAACAACCTCCTATTTTTAACAGCTTTTCTAGTGTACCTCTTCTTGCAAGTAGTGATTCATCAGTGATTAATCATCACTGGTCAATAATGGCGACAAATTGCTTGAAAGATATCATTATCTTTTTGTTAATGGAAGATAAAATGCGGTTTAGTCGATTTTCTTCAAGCACCTACACTTTCGACATAGACTGTATTATTTTCAGTACGTGTTTTTGAGTATAAAATAAAAATAACAATTGGACATAAACATGATGGAAATAATACAGAAAAATGTAATGACACAAAAACAGAAACAAATACGAATATACATTACAGATACAAATGAAAATATAATGGAAAGATAATGGACAAAATGCCAAATAATAGTAAAGCGATAAAAAGTTAACTCAAAATACGTTGAATAATCCAACTAAAAAACCAGATTTACTTTTTTCTTATCAAAGTGAACAGCAGAGACCACAATTGGAATTCTTATTGGGTAATCGCTTCAAAGCTGAACAATATCAAGGTGGTACTATCAACTCTGTGACTTACCTTATTCAATCAACTAAAGTCCATTAAAATGACAGAGATTTTAACATTATGTTGAAAAATGGTTTTCATTTCGATTTTGGTATAGAGTTCTTTCGGTTCTTATTGTTTTAGATTCTTCTTTGTTCTGAAGTTTAAACATTTTTTTCAGATAGTGAATACTTTTTCAACTCAAGTGGTTGCCAATTTTCACCGAAATCTTTTATTGAATAGCTCGCTGAATTGGAAACATTCTAAGTGGAATCAAAGATAAGTTTTTCGTATACTGAACACCTTCGTTAAAATTCTTCGTATAGCCATTTCGACAGATGTTTTTAATCTACATTTGAATTTAAATTCAGGTTCTGGATCGAAATGGGACAATATTAGGATGTTCCCTCGTTGTGCTAAAAAATATCTTCAAACAGAAATTAAAACGCCAACCAAAGTGTATATTTTTAACAATACAAATTATTGTTCTTTATTTTTTGTTCTTCATTAATTCAGGGTTGAATTTTGCAAATTGTTCACATGAGAATGCACAGTTTTTCGTCGCAATGTCATTTATAAGCAATCATTTGCGACAACTTAATTTACAGTATAGTTAAGTAACCATATGTTTTTGTTTTAGCTGACAGTATTCTTTGTTGCGTTGTAGTGGAGCAATAGATGGTTTGTCTATCTTAAAATTTCTCTGTTTTTTTTAGTTCAGTTTCGATGGAATTGTGTTTGGTTGTGTCGGGGATGGAAACAAAAAATTTAAACAAGTTTAGCGTTTTAAAGCAAGCGGTCTTGTGTTTTTGTTGTTGTTGTTGTTTTTTTTTCATTTTAAATAACAAACGTATGCGTGTTTCCCGTGTGAAAAAATAGTAACTGAGCAGTCAGTTAACTAATTTGGGACAAAAATGACTTACTTTGATTGACATTTCAGTACAAAGTGTAGTGTAAGTCTATCATAGTTAACTGAAATCATTTGAAGTTACAAGTCAATCTAAGTTGCTTCATTTGGGACCAAGTGATTTTCTTAGAACAAAAATATAAATTCAATCAACTAAAGTCAACTGAAGTTATAGTCAGTCAGTCATTTTTTTTTCACACGGGTTGTCTTGTGAACGCATCTGATAAACTGAACAAAAGTCGGTTTTTCTTCTGCTACGTACATTTTTCCATAAATTTAAGCAAAAAAAACAAAACGAATAATTTAAAATTTAATGGGCTAGCTACAGTTGAATCCATCGCATACATGTTGACGAAATCCAGCTAAAAACAATTATAACGAAATATTCAAAATGTTTGATCCATTCTATATGTGTTTTCATTTCTAATTTTATGTCATGATATCGATGAGCCAGAGGATTCTAATTGTCCGCACACATAGTATGAGAGGAAGTTTCCAATCTATTTTTTTTCTTGTTGTTTCTACTTTGTTGAACCAATCAAATTTTTTTTTTAAATCTTCTTTCTTTGTTTTCTTTTAGAATAAAATAAGTTAAGAAATATATTGAATAAAAAAAAACATTATAAAGTTTCTCGAAAAAAAAACGAAGGACAATTGCTCGAAACGGAAAACAGTTAGAATCAATTTAATCATTCAATAATCTATATTTACCTTACTTTCAATTTACTCTCTTTTGTTTCATTTCTAATTGAACATTTTTTTTAGATTTTCTTTTGTACAAAAATTACATTGGTTGAGGCGTTGCATTATTTTTTTGTTGGAGTGCCTCGTTGCGTTAGCCCCTCGAAACGTTTGAATGTATAGTTGATGAAGACCCAGTCTTTGAGAACCTCACCCTCTTGCGGTATTGGGGCAGATGCTAAGGAAGAAAATAATGAAATGGAATTAATTCGGGCTGCACTATTTGAATGAATATTTTGAGAAATGGCCGAGTGCTATTATTGTTCTGAATAACACTAAAATTTGGTAAATTGGAGTCGGACGGTAGTGCAACGACTTGATTTTTGTGTGCGGTATACTTACGGATTTCGAGTGATACATCGGGGAATTCATCAAAGTTAGATGTATCGTCGATTGAGCGCACTTCGACTGGAATTGCAGCGGGTCTTTCTCGAATATGTTCCCAATCGACGCCACGGAAGAATGGTATGGATTTTAACTCTTCGATTCCACGATTTGAGCCCATGCGCCGCTCGGATTCACAGCAAAATTTCACAATTGTCTCCTTTGCCTCCTCGGAAATCGGCGTCTTGATTGATTTTGAAGAATGAAAAAAAAATCAAATATATTTTAATGGCACATCTTAGTGAGAGTAGTCGCAAAACGACCTCTGCTTAGTAGCAAACCAAGATGTATAAGTGCAGTGGGAAGATTACCTCTGGTGGAAAGATCAGCGTTTCACGCCAATTCATTACTTTTCTATACGTATCTTGTGGATTGTCCGAACAGAACGGTGGATATCCCATTAGCATTTCATACATAATCACACCTAATGACCACCAATCGCACGCTGGACCATAGCCAGTTTGAAGAAACACCTACGAAAAATATGAACGTTTTCATTTACTTAGCACAAAATTTGATACTTCTGTGTGGTTCTGATGGATTGTTGATACCCTTCATAAATTAATTCATTAAAAGGTTCATTGACAAATTCTCATTGAGAATGAAAAGAAAAAGTATAACTTACTTCTGGTGCGATATAATCTGGCGTTCCGACCGTACTGTATGCCAATGCACGTCTGTTTCGCTTCCAACTCTCTGCACGCCGTTTTGAATCCATTGGACTGTGAAATTGAAACAATTCGAATATATTTAATTACGAAACCAAATAAACCCAAGCGTATTTAATTGGAGACTCGGAGGTGCTGAAGTTTGATGTGAAAGAAAATCCATTATAGTTACCTTGCACAAGTACCAATAAAATCGGATGGCTTAGCTTGCGATAAGTCCCGATAAAAATCTGTTCTATGAGATTTCTTTAAACCTGTACATAAGCCAAAATCGGACAGCTGAAACCACACAAAAATAGTTGGATTTAGAAACAACAGAAACAACAAATGGCATGTATAATCCGTATGGCATTCGACCATATTGATTGAATGTCATAGTTACCTTTAAATGACCTCGGGCGTCTAAAAGTAAATTATCTGGTTTAATGTCTCTGTGAATAAATCCTAATTTGTGAATTGAATCGATAGCTAATGCCGTTTCGGCAATATAAAATTGCGTGAATTCCTCGGATAGTGTATCCTTTTTCATTAACAATGTCATCATATCACCGCCGGGCAAAAATTCCATTATCAAATACAAATTGACCGGATCTTGAAAACTATAATACATCTTAACGACCCATTGATGATCGGCCTCCACTAATACATCACGTTCGGCCCGAACGTGTGCCACCTGTTCTTTTTCCAGCATATCCGCTTTGCGTAGCACTTTCATTGCGTACACATGGCCGGTATCTTTTTTCTGTACTAAACGCACTTCACCGAAAGCACCGCGTCCGATCACCTTGAGCGCTTCAAAATCTTCAACGCCCAGCCGAGATCGTTTTAAGCGCAAAAATTCCGTCTCTTTTTGAGCGTGCAAAAGGCGCTTCTCCTGCTTCTGCGACTCGGACAATGTTTCATCTTTGAGCGATGCTTCCAATTTAGCCAATCGCTGCTTTCGCTCCGAATGCTGCGTTAATAGGTTTGTGTAGTAATTTTCTAGGGTGACTTTTGCTTTGGTCGCTTTATCCATTGTGTGATCGCTAAAGCGAATTGTACTCTCGGCGGTCGCCATCATCCGTAGATTTTTTGTTTTCGTTTTTCGCCTAGAATGTTACCTGGAAGAGAAGAGAAAAGTCAACAACCTTTAAAAATTTGGAATCATTTTGAGCAAAATATGTCTGGTTTCGAAAAAACATGGGAGTGTGTTAGTGTTTTACACATGGCCCATTGCGAAATATGTACTTGTACTTTTAATGACTCGGGCTGTTTAGCCTTCAAACTAGAGAGAGAGAGAGAGAGAGAGAGGAAAAACACCATGAAAAATGCTTAGACTACACATTTCACTGTGGCGTAGTAGCATGGAGTTGAAATTTTATAAAAATAGAGCAGCGAAAGTCCATTGAATCGTTTGTGCTGTGTATAATTGCGATCTGTATTTTTTTCTTCTCCTCTCTCATGTCCATTATTCAGATTGGATTTGGAGTTTGATTTAAATAAATTTACTCTGCAGCATTGATTACATGCAGCATTTGAAACGGTGGGCGAACTGATGGATTATTTGCTATTTTATGTTCATGTATAATACACACTGTGGATAATGGTGGTTTTGAAAACTTTCAACTTATATTATATGAACACTTTTTGCCATATCTCTCTCCATTTCTCCATACGAATTATTGTGAAATTCCAAAGCATAATTCTGACTCACACAAATTTATCGCAAAAAGAGAGAAGAAAGTAACGGCATCACATGCTCTTTATGTAAATTACGTATGTTGGTTGTTTTTTTTTTGAATATGTCTCTGGGTTATGACTCAAGAGCGAGAGAATTCTTGAAGAATTGCACTGCTGTAATTACAATTTGGTTTACACACATTTCACGATTCCATTTTTGCCATGACGTTCTATTTGATAAATCGAACAATGACGTAGTCCAGCTACGAAACACTGAATTGGCTACATTTGTTATTACAATGTACGAAAACAACAACAACAGCAACAGCAGCAGCACCAGCTTTAGTTTGTTGCTTTTTATTGCACACTTTTATTGTGTATTAGCGTGTTATTTCTCAGTAGCAAATCGAAAATAATTAATTCCAATACACAGCCGAATTATTCGATTGGCTACGAAATTAAGACACATATACACACATGCACGCATACATGCTCACAAACAATGAACCTTATGAGAAAATGACGAAGGCAACAAACAACACCGAACAAACAAGAGATTGAATTACATTTTGGTTTGATTTCATGTTTTTTTCTCTTGTTTGCCATTTATGCAATGCATGCAATTGAATCGTTTGTTTGTTTTTTTTTCTTGCAATTCTCAAAACGAAATACTTTACATGACACACGCACACATTCGAGTACGCTGAGTGCGATTTTTGAACCAAATTTTTTTTCGTTCAACAACTTTCGACTGAATATTTTGTAAACCAGAAGTGAATGAAGATGAATTTTTTTTCGTTTGGTACCATTGAGTCTTTCTTTCGATGAATTTCTTTCGCGATTGTCGGTAGTTGTGTCCCATTCACGAGTTCTCTTCACTTCTTTTGCTGCCGTAGTTTTGTTTTTCACACACTGAATTTCTGTTCCATCCGAACGATAGTACTTTAGTCATTTAATTGTTATGCACGAATATGAAATGTGCACACATTGATGTGTGTGATGTATGTTTGCACGATGACGGAACGAGTGCAAATAGATTTTATTTTTCTTTCTTCTCTTGTCATAGCCAAAATATTACCGAGACCAAACAAAAACAATGGCAGAGTGAAATTCACTTACGTTTTTTCTTTAATTTTCAAATAACAACAAGGGAAAATTACACACACCAAAAAAAAGTTTCTTTCTTGCAATCGATCTTAGTGAATGATGAAACAATGCAAAAGGAGAGAAATGCCACAGCAGAAGCGAGAGAGAGAAAAAAACACAGAAACATTCAAAAAAAAAACTGTACAAAACAAAGGATCGAATCCAATTCAATGCTAAAGCTCACGCTTTTCCATTAGATATTTATTTAACTTCTTCTTCTTCTTTGCATACGTTTCCTACTGGAATTTCAGGTCTATGTATCAACTTTTGTCAACCTTTCATTTACCAGATTATTTTATGTGTCAAATAAAATAGTATGTGGATTGAAATCGAACTAACCAGCGTTTTATTTCGTTTTCTTCTGCCTATTCAGATCTTTTGATGAGAATATGAACACTGCTCTATTCTTCTTTTGTTGTTTTCGTTGTCGCTCTGTACTTTTCCTGACTCTCTCGCACATACACACACACACACACACTCACACAAATCCACCGTGTACAAAAAAAACGAAACACCAACACTTGAACGTTATTTATTCTCTCTGTTCGATGCGTTTCTCTTTTTTTGTTCTGTTTGTTCGTTCAGCGTTTGATTATGTAGTTTCTTTTTGTTACTTTTCTCTTCTCGTATGATGTTATGATCAGCACTCGTGTGTGCTACACTATCAAAAGTATAACTGATGAAAATATGGCCGCCTGCCTACACATAGAAATCGTTGCTTTGTGTTTTTACCAAGTAGAAAAAAAACAGATATGATGATGTAAACATTTGTATGTACGACAAGTGGCGAGATTTTATGAAAAAACCTATGATTTTGTCGTGAATGTAAAAACGAGATGGCTATAGTACGGTAATAATAAACAGTTACTAGTCTTGCCATTGCTGCCAACCACCGTGACGCATAACATTTTAGCTGTCAAATGGTTTTTGAACATACGGAACAGGTTTACCTCGACCAATACTATCCAAATGACTATTTTTATTTATTTATTTCGTTTGTTATATACAACAGTTGACATTTAAGGTAGAAAAAAAAGAAGAATTATCATCGACTTTTTTGTAAAAGTGCAACAAAAATGCCAAAACCCGATTTTTTCAAAATAAAAAATAAAAACAAAAACGGCACTTTTAATGTCATACATCCCATCCAAGTGATCGGTCAATAGCCTTTTTCCATTGACTGTACCGATGGTCACGTTCTTCTTCGGTGATAACTGGCTTCACAATCGTCTCACCGATCGATATGTGTTTGGTGATATCCCATTTGTTAACAGCTCGACCAGCTGCGATAGCTGCACCCAATGCACTCGACTCAGCCATTGTCGGACAGATTACCTCGAGGCCCACCAAATCGGATTGCAATTGAAGTAACAATTTGTTGGCCGTCATGCCACCATCAACTTGCAATTTAATCAAATTGAAATTGCAATCCTTGGTCATTGCGCCGAGAATGTCACGCACTTGGAAACAAACGGCTTCGAGTGTTGCACGCAAAATGTGACCACGTTGAGTATCCTCGGTCAGTCCATAAATCACCCTATGTAAATATGGAGGAATAGTTTTGTACCATTTTTAAAAACGAAAATAAATCAGATTGAATCTTTGTTGCTTTGATTCAACGAACTTACCCTCGAGCTTCTTTCTTCCAGTATGGAGCATAAAGGCCGCTGAATGCCGGTACAAAGTACACATCACCACTATCTTCGACCGTATCTACCAGTTCGGTTAATTCCTTCACATCTTGAATCACATCCAAATTATCACGCAACCACCTAAATTGAATCATCAATTATCTTGAGCTTACTTAGAATTTTCAAAATAATTTACGTGATTGCTGCTCCAGCAATGGCAACCGAGCCTTCTAATGCATATGTTGGTTTATCATCCGGACCAAATTGATAGCCAACTGTGGTCAAAAGGCCATGAGTCGATAGAATTGGTTCTTTCCCTGTGTTGTACAGCAAAAAGCAACCAGTTCCATAAGTTGCTTTCGCCTGACCCTTTTCGAAGCATTGTTGACCAACAAGAGCGGCTTGCTGATCACCAAGACATCCGGCTAGTGGAATACCCTTGAATAACAAATTGGTTTTATATTAATAACCAACATTTGTATACTACTGAAGGATCATGGCTTAATGGGGCTAAAACCTACTTTCAATGTACCATCAGAGAAAAGACCATATACTTCGGAGCTTGACCGAATTTCTGGCAAAATTGTGGCGGATACACCAAAGAATTCCAACATTTCTGGATCCCATTGGCAAGTCTTAATGTTCATGAGCATTGTGCGAGATGCATTTGTTATGTCCGTCACGTGAACGCCACCCGAAATTCCACCGGTTAGATGGTACAACAGCCATGTATCAATTGTGCCAAATAGGCAGTCATTTTTCTCAATCGCTTCGGCTATTTGTGGCACATTGTCTTTCATCCATCGCAATTTCACGCCAGAGAAATAGGTTGACAATGGCAGGCCGCATACTTTTTGGAAATAATCTTTATCTTTGTCCGCTGACTTGGCGGCCAGTTCATCGACTGTGCTCGATGTCCGAGCATCCATCCAAATGATGGCATTGTACATTGGTTTGCCCGTGTGACGGTCCCATATGATCGTCGTTTCTCTTTGATTGGTTACACCAACAGCAACAATGTCCTGCGAACAAAATGAAATATTTTAAATGTGAAAATATCGATAATTTTCGTTCTGAAGTCAGTTTTGCTTTAGTTTTAGTTTCAGGTTCCGTATCAAAGGTCGAAATTGGAAAAAAAAGTGAGTCGACATTGCGAAACAGACAGTTAAGCGCCATTTATGACTGATTGAGCACCACTTATATGCCTTGATTGATAAGCAATAAATCACTTGAAGTTAAAAGTTCAAAGTCTTATCGAAGTTTCAATTTCCCCGGTCACTATTAATAATGTGTAAAATGCGCGCCTACTTTTCAGTGTTGCACTATTTGGAGATTTGTTTTTTTTTGCTGCTGTTCGTTTGTGGGACACTTCAATTGCGTCATCAAACTGGAAATATTTGATTTTATTTCTATAAAACTCTTTAAAACTGATTGAATAGATTTTAAATGGGATAAATTGAATCGTTTGTAAATGTTGACACTTACGCTAGCACTACCGCCTAGTGCGATTAATTTTTCAACAGTCTTTTCGATGCATTCGTTGACAACGTTAAGAATTTCCACTGGGTCTTGTTCAACCCATCCTTCGTTGGGTGTGATACTGCGCAGCTCTTTCTGATGATAGCAAACGATATCGGCGGTTCCGGCTTTGAACAAAACAAAACGGGCAGACGATGTTCCTTCATCGATGGAACCAACTAAATCACCAAACGGTTTTGATGCCATTTCTTAAATCCCAAGTATTAATTCAGCACCTTTGAATTACCCCAAAAAAACGCAATGAATAAACAAACTAAGCATTATCGCACGACGACAATAGCAAAAAAGAATTTGACACTCAAAATGTTTCCCAAATCGTTTCAATAAAAATGATAAGGAATTTGATGGCATTTGAGCCAGGGTCAAAGTTCTCGTATTTTTGTTCATTACACAATCCATTGGCCGACACAAAAATAGACGTAATTCGTCCAAAAACTAAATCCAGTATCATTTTCTACTCTTTTTTCAAATACACACTCTATCACCAGACCAAAATTTATTTATGGCTAAATGGAGTACCTGTCAACGTTCTAACGAATATATCACCATCGAATGACTGAATATCAATCACTTGACCCCATTCACATTAACATCAAATCGCTTCTAAATTACCTTCCAAATGTTGTTAAGTACGACAATTACATGTACAATTTCCAATTTAAATTGCATTCGAAGCGCTCAAGGTATATGCATTGGGCATTCATTTGAAATCTACTACGAACATATTATCACAATGTTGTTTTTTTTTTGCTTCGGTCGCACATTACTATCAACTGTCATTTGTGATTTCCATGCTTCGGTTTTTTTTTGGTTGGCAGCGCTGTCACCGTACATCATCTGTCACCAAACAGATACAATTAGAATTACTTTATTATTCGAATGGAAACGTCAAAAAGTTTACAAGCATCTCGCAGTATTTATTTGCTTCAATCGGAGGGCTCTAACGTTGAATTTATCGAAAATTTTGTAAAATTATAGGAAATTGTGCACGTTAACCAGAGTGCATCTAATATCAAATCATTTTGGCCAACATATTTGATCACTTTTGACAACTACTCGTTTGATTTGAACAAAAAAAAAAAGAAAACAACCATGGAAAGTATTCTAGAGCAATGCGAATCAAGTGATGATCAAAATTCATCTCCAGTCAAAAGTAACCGTGAATCAGAGGAGAAAATTGAAACGACCGATTTGACAAAAACTGAACCAAGTCCCGAAAAGGAGGCAGAATCGGATGGCACCGAAAAAGAATCACAAGATGATACGGACATGACAGATTTCGATCACAAACCATCCACCGCTGATATTGACAGTTCAGAGAACACTGAAGACACTGAGGCCAACGACAACGATTCAAAGTCGGAAATTAAGGACGATCACAAGGACATTGACATCTCATTTGATGAAGACATCATTTTGCCGAGTGTTCGACACGATCCGGAACAGGAGCAGAAACAACGTGACCGCATCAAGCGAAAAGAAATGAAAAGTCGCAAAGAACTCGAAGAAGAAGAACGTGAAAAAATGCAGTAAGCAACCATCGCGGTTGAACGATTCATTTCCATTCAATTTGAATGTATGCATTAATAATTTTTTAATCATAAATGTTCCAATTTTTTCAGAGTTTTAGTCTCGAATTTTACCGAAGAGCAACTGGAACGTTATGAAATGTACCGACGAAGCTGTTTCCCCAAAGCGACGGTAAAGCGGCTGATGCAGACAATAACTGGTTGTTCCGTGTCGCAAAATGTTGTGATTGCAATGTCCGGTATAGCAAAAGTGTTTGCCGGCGAAATTGTCGAAGAGGCCTTGGACATAATGGAACGGGCTGGTGAAACTGGAGCCTTACAACCCAAATACCTGCGTGAATCAGTTCGTCGATTGCGTGCCCGTGGTCAAATCCCACACGGACGATCACACAAACAATTTTTCCGATTAAACTGAGTCCACTAGTTGAGTTAATTTAAATGTAACTTTTAATTTTGATTGAATTTATTGAAATAACGACAATTGTAATTTAATAATATTGAATAGAGAATCGATTTGTAAAAATATTGGGTGATTTCTATTTATGGTCCCATGAAAATTTTGTCCAATGGATAAAGATCATGTTCGACGTTGAGTTTTTGCAGAGTTTGCTTTGTGGCCTACCAGTCTGCATCTTGAATATGTAAATTCTTCAAAAATTCGCTCATTTCTGGAGCCACTGTTTTCGGATTGTTCTAATGTACATAATAACTTCCATTGACATGTGTCATTTCAAAACACTGCTTGAATTGGTTTAATGTACTGCAGAGTAATTCTATATGTAGCATAAACAGGGAACTGATATATTTTAAGACAATATCTTAAGTCAACTGGAATCTTCTTAACTCATTTATTAAAAGTTGCATGTCATGTTTTACCAAATTGCTGATGAACTTTGTCTCGATCTAATGATTTTGATGTACAGGTGGGCGAATTCGCGAGTATATACTCTCATACTCATTCATTTTGAAAATGAGTATGTCTCGACATACTCTCATACTTATAGATACGCTCTGAGTATGAGAGTATATACTCGGAGTATATACTCTTTGATTTTGAGTTTGTCTCGACCTACTCATTTTTTACCCAAAGAGTAACTCTACACCTACTCTTTTTCCTACTCTTTTTCCTACTCATTTGAGTATGTCTCGACATACTCATTTTCAATTTTTTTTTCTCCTCAGGAAAAGTTATATATCTTTTATATATTTTCCTGAGGGAGGGAAAACGAGTGAGTAAGTGTGAAGTTACTCTTTCGCAAAAAAATGAGTATGTCGAGACATACTCAAATGAGTATGAAAAACAGTAGGAAAAAGAGTAAGTGTAGTGTTACTCTTTGGGTAAGAAATGAGTAGGTCGAGACATGCTCAAATGAGTAGGAAAAAGAGTAGGAAAAAAAGTAGGTCGAGACATACTCAAAATCAAAGAGTATATACTCTGAGTATATACTCTCATACTCAGAGCGTATCTATAAGTATGAGAGTATGTCGAGACATACTCATTTTCCGTTTGTAGGAGTAGGAGTATGAATTATACTCTCTTACTCCGACCACCTGTATTTTGATGAGCCTTCGTTTGTTTCTTAATTTCGTCGTAAGTATACATAGGTAACGGGCTTTTTTGACGCTTTTAAGGACATACAATTGCTTCTGTCTTGTTGAAGATAATCTTGCCACATTTGCTAGTCACAAATTAACTGGTTGGAGTGTATCCAATGCACAGACCGAATCAACTTGTGTCGGGTACAACGATGCGTACATAAAAGTCACTAAAGCACTCATTGAGTGACCGATCAACGAGATCGTTTTCCAATTTAATCAACAATGAATTTCCTCCAACCATATCGATAATGCTGCAAAAATAGTCATGAGGGAAAGAGTGATTTGAGTGAGCTTTACGTTGGCAACCATTCATAAGTACAATATGATTTGTACAATAGAGAGGATTTAATTTTGGTAAGGCAACTTTGATTATTAAAAAACGGGGTGTTTACTAAACCCCCAAAAAGTAAATGATCATAAAGTTTGAACGGCTATAAAATTCAATCTGCTATAAAACGATTGAATAAATGTAAATTGTAAATATTCATTCGTTCAATTTTCAATTGCGAACAGCTTTGAACTGAAATTTTATAAAAAATTTGTACCAATGTTAACCGTGACACTTTTATTTGTGGAAACTTCAACAATATTTCAAAAATTAGTTTGAATTGGTTTGACCGTCGTTGGCCAAATCAAGAGGATAAGTCGTAAATAATAAGTTGCAATGATTTATTTTCTCTTATTATCATATTTTATTTCAATTCAATTTCGGAATCGGGTGTTAGAGGCGATATGAGTGGGAAAATGATATAAAAAATAGAATCACTTACGACTAATCTATGATAGCTAAGTCTCCATCAGAATAGAGTTGAACTTTTCTTTGGCATACAGTTACATTTTATTATTTCTGGTTTGTGATTTGGGGGGAAGGGGGGTTTTGAGGCAATATTATCTATCTGATTTGTTGTTTGCTCAATGACTTAAGAACTACGAGCGCCCAAGTGATCGTATATCTGTACGAGTAAATTGTGTGTTGCTCCATCAAATAACAATGCATTCGTGTGGGAATTGAGCTCCACTTTTTGCATATGGATCGTGTTGAGATGGACATTTTTGGTGGCATCTACCTCCATGGTATCCTGTTCCAACGCAACTGCAACGATATCCAGGAGATTGTGAGATTTGAATGCAAACGCCACCATGTTGACATGGTTCCCGAACGCATACGTTATTCGAACGGCCCTACAAATTTTGATTGCCATAGAGGAATAATCGAATTCATTCAAGGATTAAGAGATTGTCTTAAAAACTATTTGATCGTTTTGAGAAAAAAAATCTACCTTTAGAGCATCGTTGCATTCCTTGAGGTTGGCATACCGGAATTCGGATTTGCACCCATACGAACATGAGCAAGCTCCGTTATCAATTCGACATCCGTGTTGTGTTTGATCCAATTCACAAGCGTTCACACGCAACAAAGCATCTAGTATGTGTTTAGAAAAATAGAGATTTTAAATTACGAATCGAATACATTTGTTTTTTTGCCTGGAAGAAAGTGAAACGAAACAAGTGGGGAAAAAAGAGAACAAAAAATATTCAGCCATAAATCTGATTGTTGTTTCGAAGCATAAGCGTTATTAATGAAAGTACTTTGTCGGTTTGACCTAATAAACCCTTTGCATCTTGATAACCGACAGAGCACCAAATGACGATCACAACCATTCTATTTGTCAAAACTTCTAACCGCTTTTCGATTCTGTTTCCATCGACAATATAAATTATATAAAAAGTAGATGCGTCGCAAATCGAATCGAATCAATGATGCATTCGTATGGAATAACACATTCTAAATGAGAGCACTAGTTAAGCGGTTTTAATTTGTTCATCATTTGAAAATGTTCATAAAAGAGAACGCCAAAATATTCGTTCAACGCACCGAATGAGTCCGAATGGAGGAATAAAAAAACAGCAACAATAAATTATTGCTAGAGATACGGAGAGAATGAAAAAGAAAGAGAAAGAGTGGAATAAACGCGCCGCAAACAGCAAAATTTCAAATGGAAAACTCCATTGCGACAGCGCATACAATTGAAGTGCAGCTCACATATTTGTTTCGTTATAATTTTAGACTTGGCTTTTGTCGGAATAGCTCTCTTGAATGCAGTCAATAGAAGTGAACTGATTAATTAATGTCAACAAACGGTCGATCGAGTTGATGAACTAATATTTGAATGCATCAATTCATTTGGAAAGTGGGCAGAATGCAATTCATTCAAGTAATTTACCGTTAATTATCGTTGCTAGAATGAGGATCACATAAAAAATGTGGCCACAATTGAAACGGTTGGAATTCATGTTTGTTTGCTTTCGAAGGGGCGGCGTGTAAAATGAAGGATCTGTTCAACAAAAACACTTCGAAGCTCAACGATTATGGAAAATCACTTGAAAATTCCGTTAACAAATAAATGTCTGAATTCCGGATGTAATCGTTTCGATTAAGTAGCACTTTTTTTTCGGTCGTTGTTTCTCAAATATTCTAAATATGAGTTTTCGATTAGAATCTTGTGCAGGATCTCATGATTCACTAGACGCGATCAATTGAGGAATCAAAAAATACGTTAGAAAAAACCGATTTCTTTTTAAAACTGAAAAAAAAATGTATATCTAAATAGTTGGACTTTTAGTTTTATCAGAGAATAATTTGCTTGAATCGATGAAACTGTGGTGCACACGATTGCAGCCGAAGCTAAATGTCGAACATCTTTTGTTCGAAGTTAATCGAAAACTGTTTCATATTTCAAATAAACGATTTTAAACAGCGCCGCGTCAGACGCACACAATTTCTTCTCTGTTTGTTTTTTGTTTCTTCTCTTGAACTAAAACTTCGAACAGGCCATTTATAAGAAATATATAGGAAAAGCGAGAAGGAAAAACACACGACAATATATTCAACAACGAGAACAGCAGCAGCAGCAGCAGCAGTAGTAACAGCAACAAGCAAATAGCATACGACATTTATGTACTTTGTCATAATCTCTTTCACTCTCACCGTTTGCCTCTTCGAAACCCAGAATTAGAGAGAGAGAGAGAGAGAGAGAGAGAGAGAGAGAGAGAGAGAGAGTGAGTGGCGATAATGTTTAAATAGAATGTTTCAAAGATTACACACGCAGATGTATGTACACAAGGAAGACACAGCCGAACAGATGAAGACACAAGACCGAAATCTAAGGTCTAAGTGGAAGCAACGACATATCCATACAAAAAAAATCCGAATCGTGTGTGCGTTTCGGTTGATTTCGAGTGCATATAAATAAAATGTTAACGCAACAACAACGAAAAAGAACAAAAGCTTATGTGAAATATCCGAATGGACAAAAATGTGTTGCACATTCAGTCCGTTCTAGGAGAAACAGCACAGATACATAAATGATAGTCGTTATCACAACATACTCCGTCACTCTGTGCATACAATCTATTTTGGAATGTGAGTTTCGTTATTTCTTTCTGCATACTAACTGATCAAAATCTACCCGGCATAGAATCCCATATATGTACGTACACAGCTATGTATGAAATGCGAATAATTTCGAATCTCATTTTTGTTCTGTATTAAGATCAAGAGGCAAATATCATTTCGTTTTACATACAGTCGATTGGTGCGTGTGCGTACGTCTGTGTCGGTTGATTGTAACATTTCACATGCATTCTCATCGCATCAATCTTGAAGAATATCAAAATCAAAGCAAGCAAGCGGCCACATTGCAAACGCCTTTCTAAATCAACCGCTCTTTATATAAATAATATAGGATGTTCATTCAGTCGTTGCCCTTTTCAGCGAGATACGACAACCAACAGCGATAAAGTATATTGAACGCGGTATGGTTCATGTGTCGCATGTGATGTGAGTTGTGTTGTTGTTGTTGTTGATTTTGGATTCGGGATTGCGTTGTTCGGAAGTCAAACACAATCTGCTGGCTTCTACATCTCACATCATCCGAATGAAGATGCAAAATATCTCCAACAAATATAAGGAAATGAATGATCTTGAAACAAAACACTTCTCTTTCTGTTATGAACTTGTATATTTCGGAAACAAAATTGGCCCACAGCCAATTATCACTAGAGAGAAATAGTTGACTTTGGACTTAGAAACTAATGCAAAAATGCAAAACAAAAAAAATGCAATTGGTTTCGTTTGATTTATCGGTCGATTCCGGTGCTTTTGATTTTATTTTTTCTTTTGTCAATTCAAATGTGTGGTTTTGGCTTCAAAGGCACATCTTTTAATTGGTTGTTTTTTTTATGATTGCAACGCATTGTTAATTCTAGAACTCTGTACAAATATTCTCGTAATTCCAACTTAAACTTATAACAACGAATAAATTAGAGTCACACGCTTCACTGTTTCTCCATTTTTCTTCTTCTTTTTCTTCATTTCTTAGTTAAAAACACAATTGTTAATCCTGTTAATTCATATATGTGTATAAAAGGAAACTATTTCCAAAAAACGTGTACAATCATGTACGATCTGCATTTGTGTAAGAAGATCCGTTCACGATTGTGATCATGCGTCTAGGATAAAATAGTTTAACTAGAAAAAAATTGTTTTCGAGTAGATTTTTCTTTTTTTAGTTTTGTGACAATTAATAAAAAATAAACACGAAAAATTGTCGTTTTAATTGATCATCGATCACACATCTATTTGTCATTCGAGGACATTGTACTAAAATATGCCAATCGCTTGTCTCGCAGTTGATTTTGCGTCAGATTCTCCTTTTTATTTGATTCGCTTAACTCTTGCCCGGTTCCACTAAAACATTCGAGACTCAGTTTTAGCGCAGCATCCAAATCGGAATTGGTGTCACTTTTACTATCGCTGCTGGTGTTGGATGATGTTGATGGGCCACCACTGCTGCTGCCTGCCATACATTCGCTCGGCATGTATCGGTCATACTTGTTGGTGTATTCGGCAAGGCTCAATTGGATGGCACGTTGAATGTCTTCATCATTTTCAGATGCATTGGACGCCTTCGAATCCGACTTGGTCAGATCGATGAAGTGTGTGGGAGGCGGAATGACGGCATTTGGCAAATATTTGAGTGGTTCGGCCGCACATTCGGGGAAATCGCCACTCACCACAAATATTGAATAACCTTCGTTCTGCATTTGTTTGAGATATTCGGTCAAAAATGAGCTGCTCATGTAATCCGGTCGACTGAGCAGTGAATCGAGATTGAAGTAAGCGTAGGTTTCGTTTGACGGTGGTCGTTGCGTGGAATCACATCGGAATCGACGAATGCAATACCAATGGCTTTCCATATTGAAAATATATGCTTGAGCTTTGGTCGGATTTACACGAATGTCTTTGGCAATCCCATCGCTACTGTTCAACGGCACTAATTCCAAGTTCCATAACGCCAGCGCTTTGCTAATCACTTGAACCGAAAAGAATCCCGTATCGTCCATATTGCCCGATTCTTGTTGCATAAATTTTTTATAGTCTTCCCTATGTTTTTTTTTTTGACAAAGAAATTAAAATTCAGTCATGACTGACACAAAATACTATGGACATGTTCTTGTTCACACTCACGATTCAACACCTTTTTCATTTTCCGACATCTGCTGGCGCTCTTCTTCATCCAGTCCCATTGCTATTTCGCTTAAATCAACAGCTGTGAAATATGATCCCTGTAATATCGCGTTCAAACAGTGCTGAGCACACAGTCTACCCTCTTGCTGAAAATCCAAATCGAAATTGAAGAAACAGAAATTGTGACTCTTATTAGAAAAGATTCAATCATTTTTCGACCAAACAGAAAAACTAATCCAATTTATGTCGGTGTTGGGAAATTAGGCAAAACTTGCACTACAAACACGTACTTTTTCGTGAAAAATCAACGAAATGTCCCACATTTTGGCGTGTCAGTGTGATTATTTTGATTTCGGCACAATTGATTTCCTTTCTATGAATGGAGCGAGAAAAAAAAATTTGATGTGAATTGAACCATTCGGATTTTTGTGGCAAAAGTAAATAAATAATCCGATGCTATGTTATTATTGACATGCAGCTCTGTGTGGCTCCAATCGAACTGTCTGTTTTATTTTAGACCATATGCGTTAAGTATTTTTCCTCAATGGTTTTTTTTTATCCATTTACTAAATAATTTCTAGTACTTTCTTATACGAGCTGAATGAGCTTTGGAAATGGTATCAAAATAGAGACGATTGCAATTTCATAATGGAATAATGCGTGCAATTAAGTGATTCAATCGAGTGGAATTGTTTATCTTCGTTTTTTTCTCCTCTCTCTCTCTCTCTTTCGCCTGCCAACAATTTAAATTTATTGACTGTACGCAATGTATTGAGAGCGAGAATTAAAAATTCTATCGGATAAAACCTGGCAATACTGTGTTGGGTTTGGTGAAAATACACATCGTGATAGTCATCGGTGATGTACTAACGCAAAAGCGGCGTAATAGTATCTCGTCATCATCATTACCACCGTCATCGTCATTGATCATCAATCATTGTGTTTCTTTTTTTTACTTTCATCTAAGTATTCGAACGTCAAACCCAATGGACTGTCATCAGACAGCAGTTTCAGATAGCATTGAGTACATACGATGTCAACGTTTGCAGTAGTAAAACACACTGTACCAAAATATACTCACAATGAAAAAAAGAAATCCATGATGATTTCAATTGAATTGTATGCATTTGGAAACGATTGCAATTGTCACGTTCATTTTTGTCGAAATCATTGCCAACGATTTTTCAGAAAGGTAAACCATCAGTTCGACAAACGTCGCATCAACGAAACAACAACGCATTAAGTACGTTTCATTCGTTCACCGAGCAACACAAATACACACGCACGCATCACACGCACACATGACCACCGGCCTGCACATATACTTACTGATTGAACACGAAATAATCGTTGCTTATGTTAACACCACACATCGCCAATGTTACTATTGTTGGTTTACTACAACCTCTTCTTCTTACACATAAAACTAACATGGCGGCATGTCGTCGGTGCGTAGCTGTCTTGTCGTGTTCTGTTTAATTTCATTTTTGTACACATAAAAAAAAACTTTAAATTAACTTAAACAATAAAAAAAACACAAAAAAAGTAAAAATAGCAACCGAAAGTTAAACAACTTAATAGGAATAGAACAATATCCAAGACGAGAGATAACACAAATTCAAGCTAAAATAAAAGAAAAAGTTAATAAAAAAAAAGAAATTCAATTTAGACAAAGCAAATGTAAGGAACGAAAGAAAGAAAGAAAGAAAGAAGAAAAAAAACAACTAAACACCTAAAGAAGAAGGGAAAAAAATCTATCGAAAATCTAAACTATTGAATCGAGCTGAAAACTAATGGGGATAACAAATGGATAAATAAATGAATTTAAATCACACAAAAAAAGGGTTTGCAGTTTTTTTGCGTAACGAGTAGAAATTTTTAATCACAGTGTAAGTGTGTGTGCGAGAGAGAGAATGCGATTGGTAAACAAACGGCAGAAATTTTCAACCGAGAAAACACAGGCCAATCCGTTTAACACATAGTGCATATTGAAAGACTCCCATACAAAGTGATTCTTTTTTTTCTGTCCTCTTCTTCGACAGTACTGTAATTGTTTTTTTCTTCTCATAAGCAAAAACCAACACGAAAACCAACATTTAAGACACGAAAAAAACAATACCATAAAAAACAACAACAACAACAACACAGAATTAGCAAAAGCGCAGCGTGTAGTATTATAATTTATTTTATTTTTTTTTCCATTATTATTATTCCTATCGTTGTTAACATTAAATTTTTTTTCCATTATCATCAAGAGTTGGAAGGAAAAAAGAAAAGAAGCAAAGAAAAATAAGAGAAAAAATAGCCCAACTGAACTAGAACCCAAAGTCTAACAAGTGAAATGAAGTAAAAGTGTATCACACATCGAGTTATCTGCAGAAACCCAAACACTTTTTTTTCTGTGTAAAATAAAAACAAAATTATATATTTACATATACATAAAAAAAGAGAGACAGAGAGCGTACAAAAAAGGAGAGAAGAAAAAGACGACGACGACGACGACGAATACGAATACGCAAAAAAACAACAAACGAATGTTTCTCAAAACTCAAACGTGTTAACCACATACAATTGCAGCTACAGTAGCAGCACCAGCAGCAGCACTTAGTTCTTGGACATTTTTGTTGTTGTTGTTTTTGCATAGAACAGCGAGACAAAAAAAAAGTTCTGTATGCAACGCAAATTGTTTCCGTGATATCATTTCGATACGGCCACGAATCTGATTCCGATTTCTGCTAACTTAATCCACATTAACTCGCAAAATTGAGCAAACGACACGGGAGCTACTTATACGGTCTTATTCGATCCAAACACACACACACACCGTGTGTGTGTGTACGCGCATACATCCTGTAATGCATGCATCGATTTCGACATATTTTCTATTTTTCTTCTTGTCTCTCGCCAGCCACTGAACGTGTGTGTATGTTTGTCGGTGTGTGCTGATCTAAGAAATCCACCAGAACCAATTTACCCGAACCAACTTTGGGCATTTAAACATTTAAAGAGAACAAATAGACACAATATTAGAGTAGAACCGAAAAAAAACCACACATAAGAAAATTGAGCCGTACAAGAAATACCAATCGCATATAGTTTGAGTTGAAACGGAGAAAGTGACTGCAGTGTGACACAGCAGCCGACTTTGGATTCCGATTGAAACATTCATTGTAGAAACAGCCGATTGAAGGTTTATACCACTTCCAAATCAACTAACTGTTTGTCTTTTTTCCTTCTCTCTTCTTCATTTCTGATTGGAAACTTTCTTTTTTTTATCGGTGCACTTTTCTATCTCCTTCTCTCTCTCTCTCTCCTCCCCATCAGTTGAGTGTATTTTTTTTCTACTTCTTATCAATGTTTCACCTTTTCGGTGTGCCACAAATATATACAATATTTTCGGTCAATATTTCTATATTTTTTTTCCAATTCCAAAAAAAGGCGCTTTCTTTTCAATCAAAATGCCATTTTGGTAGATCAGACACCAGACGGCAACAAAATTAAAATCTTTCGTTGCTTGGCATAGGGAAACAAATGCTATTTTATTTGGAATTTGATTTTTATCCAAAAATGCTGCTTGTAATTTGTCGTGTTGCTTCTCATCGTCTTCAATTGGCCTTTCTTTCTTGAAAATTTTGGTGTTTGTCTGTTGAATTGCCTTTCGATTAGTTTTTTTTTACAACTAAATTTATATCCGTTTTAATCGAACGTCCAACTGATGCCGTTCTTCTTTTCTTTCTATTTACAGGAGTTGCCGTAAATCTAAACATATATTTACACACACACACACACATTTCTAGACCAAAAGACTTTTCGACAAAGTTAACTGAATCTCTCTATACTCACATCAAAAGCAGAATATAAAAACAACATGAAGAATGAATAATAAAAATACAACAAGTAAAATAAAATAAAATGAAATAATAATCAATAGAAACTAAAATATCTGTTGAAGCAGAAGGAGAAAAAAAACAAAACACACAAGAATTTATGTACAAAAATTGATGTCAACTTTAGACGAACATACACTACGAAGAGCATTTTGATGTTAGTTGAACTTTAGAACATTAAAACGAAAAGCAACAACAACCAGTTAATCGTTTGACATAAAAAAAGAAGAAGAAGAAGTAAACCTAACAAGTGATCCTGAAAATACATGTTAACACTTTTTTCCCGTTTTTGTTATTATTAATTCAATCAACGAAACATAAACCAAGAAGAATAAGAAGCTTGCGGTGTGGTGTGAAGACGCTGTTTAATTGTGAAAAACGAAAAAAAAGTATACAAACGAACAATACAAAGCACTGGTTAGTTCCTTGATATTTGATTTGAATCGTGATCAACACGTGTGTTGACACGGTTTTCGATTTCTTCGGTTCCGTTATATTCCGTTGGATGAACAGTGAAGACGACGACAAGTGCAGAGGAAACAGCAACCAATTCGGTCATCATTTAGTCGGCGTAATCAACGTAAAAAATCGCGTGCGGGTCAACTAATGCCAAGGTGATTTTGAACTAAATATTAAACACACTATTAGCTGCATTAGAATAAAAAAATTTATCGAAATATTTAAAACAAAGAAGAGAAATCAAGAGAAAAAAAAGAACAATAACACACATCCACACGCAACACCGAACATTTAGAAAAAAAATTTAAACAAAGCAAAGCAAAAAACAATTTGAGTGAACGTGTACATTAGTTTAGTCATAGGACAATAATTCTATGAACAACCCATCTTTGGAGTTTGAAAGAACACAAACAACAACAACAACAAAACGAATAGTGGTAAATTTAACTAAATCAAGCGATTAACAAAAACTTAATTAAATATACACACGAAAATTAAGAAAAATAATAACAAAAACAACACCAACAAAAAACACAACAAAATATCGAAACCAAAATATCAAATAGCATACGCACCCCCAGAAAAATATTAAGCCGAAGCAGATCAATCGAACAGCGAACACAAGTTGAACGGTTCAACGACAATTCAGGCTGGTCAGAGAGAGAGAGAGAGAGAGAGAGAGAGAGAGAGAGAGAGAAAGAGCCCGTGGGGCTAAGTCTTATGTCAGGCATCATTTAGTGGATCAACACAACACATTTATTAGTACAAGCGAAAAAAACGCCAAAAATATAAATTATTCACACACACATAAACACATTATCCGAAATCAATCGCAGAAATAATTAGTCGCCGATTTCGACTTTTGAATGAGGCGCCATCAAATGGAATAGAAACACACCGAAGGGGAACACACAGTCAGCGAATAGCATTCGATATCACATTGGATTCGCCAAAATCATAACTGCAACCAAATAATCAAAAAAGAAAAAAACCAACCAACCAATCTCAGTAAATGAAACGAACATAGCTTGGCTGAATAAAGTTCTAATCAAGAGAGAAGAAGTGAACAACCAAACAAGGAAACAAACAACAAAATATATATACAAAGAAGACACATCCTCTTTCATCAACCCCATTTGTATTATTCCTGCGAATAGAAAAGAACATCAACATTACAATCACTGACAACTGATGAACCGAAACAAATCCAAAGGAAATCAACAAAAAGGCATTTAAATCGAAACATTTATTGTGTTCTATTTTTCAACACGTAAAACCATTCAACATAATAAAATAAAGTGCATCAAGTGTATTCACACAACAACAGCAACTAAAAAATTAAATAAACAAGTAGTAATTCCAATACACACTCACACCACGTGAAACCCGGGGCGGAAATAAGAAATCGAATTAACAGTCAAGTGCAAATAACCTGTCTTGCAGAAAAATCATTCAAGAAAACGAATCACAGTATAACGAATTAGTTAAAAACAAATTAATAAAAAAATTAATTCTTTTTGTTTGTTAAATATTCTTGATATCAGTTTTTTGGGAGAAGAGAATAGAGAAAAAAGAACACCAAGCGAAACGGGACAAAAAACATACAACTGAATGAAGCATACGTTTGAGTGACGTTGAACATTTATAATTGTGTTGCTGTAAGCGGTTCACTTTTTTTTCTTCTAAAATTGAAACAGACATTTTTGCAATCAGCCAAAAAAACATCCTTTTTTATTTAAAAAAAAAACAATTCAGCTATAACGAAACACCCAACTACTTCGTATGAAGTGAAGAAATATTGTTTATTTTTCGGTTCTGAAATTAATCTCAAATTAAGTACAAATTGATAAGCCGATGCGCTTTAGAGCAAGATAAAAGAGAACAAGTAGCGAGAAACATAAGAAAAAAACACACAAAGTAATACAACTGCAATACTTTCATACTTCAAGTGCTTTTCTAATAAATTAAAAAAAGAAACAACCAGGAAACTAAACGGTAATTAATCCAAGAAGGACAAAAGACATTTTTTGTGTGGTTAAGAAGACTAGAAACGGATTGCGATATTTTTAAAAAAAAGCGTAAAGTTATTTGAATTAAAGCAGTAACAAAACAAAGAACTTTAACTACAGAAAAACAAACAAACAGTGATTGAAAGAGTGTGTGAACAAAGTTTGGAGGATTGCACGCGCAACAGGACTCTTGGCCAACAACCAAGGCAAAGCCCAAGAGAAGAAAATATCACGAGCGCTGCAAGAAAAACCTCCCGAATAAAAGTTCATATTTATTTCAAAAGCGACAATTTGAAGGTTTAACATCGCTCTTCAAATAAAAACAAAAACAAAAACAAAAACAAAAAAAAACATTTATAAGAATTAACAGCTTAAACTAAAAAAAAAATAAAAAAATACAAAAAAAACAACAAAAAATAATAATAAATAATAATAAAGGAGACAACAATACTGTGATACAAGAATAAAAAATATATTATATTATGATTATTATATATATATATACATATTCAATAAAGTATTCAAATTATTAGCGAAACGGAGGGAGACGCGGATAATAGAAAAAGACATACACACACAACAGATCACAACAACAACTAAACCTAAATTATTCTAAGATTAAAATCGATTAACTAAGTTTTTAATGAATATTTAAAAGCCAGTGTATAAAACAACAACAACAACAACATCAAAAATCATTGCATTGCATAGCAAAAAATCATCAGAATAAGGAGAAGAAGAAATAATAAAATTTAAAAACAAAATAAATGAATAGTCGTTGTGCTGCTGATTAAAAACAACAACAACAACAAACAACAGTAAGGGAACTAAACGCGCACAAAGTAAATTTGTGGCTAAGCCGCGGAGATACCAACCATCCATTCTCCCCGCACGGGAAGAACAACATTTGTTCTCATCTTTCCCGCAAAACCTCCCAACACAACTACCATCATCATCATTATCATCACCGCCACCACCACCACCACCACCAACACCACAACATATATTTCAAAACCACTACCAACAACCAGTTACTCCGATTCTCTTTTTTTTTGGAAGAAACAACAAGTGCACGTAAATTCATACAATAATCTGTCTAATGAAGTGAATTTAATCTATTTAAAACGGAAAAGGGAAACAAAGAAGCAAGCAAACAAAAGAAATTTATAACGAAATATTTGCCTAAAAAAATCGTCAAAAGCGACATTGCAATAATTTTTAAAAAAATAAATAAAAGTAGAGGTAGCAAAAAAAAACAAGTGACGTGAAAAATATACCATTGATTTTCTGTGAAAGAAATAAAAAAAAAATTGAATTATTTATACAACTTAAAGCTAAAACAAATTAAAAAAAGATAAACAATATATACATATAAAAAATTTACCATAAGTTTGAATGTGCGAAAGAAGGAGTTACTTTTAAATTAAAGTGAATAGAATAGAAAGTAATCTGAAACGAAAAGACTAAAAGCAAAACAAAACAAAACATTAACAACAAAAACAACAACAAAATAATAATTTTAGACACGATTTTTGATTTTAAAAGACTTTTTTTTAGTTAATTAGTTGAAAGTAAAGAAAACAAATACGAAAGTAAAGAAAAATCGATCACTGAGCATACACACAATTTTTCGTTGCAAACGTAATTGTGAGAAGAGACCTGTTGTCGAGATTTGTGTTTCTCAATCATTTGAACATCACGGAAGTAATTTTCCGCTGAACATATTCCTGATCACCAATCCGCACACACACCCCAACTGCGCCACACGACAGACCATTTCGACGCGCACTATGTCCAACAATTTTATGGGTGTTGGCGGAAATTCAGCCCTATCGAAGAGTTCAACTGATGGCATACTGAATCTGTTGCAATTGAGTTTGCTGGGCAACAATGCCGGGGTGAATGTGAACGCATCGGCTGTTCCAACGTCAACCATCACCTCGCTTAACAGCGGCATTGTACCAAACAGCAACAACATCATGACAGCCAAGGCAAATTTCTATCCGCAAAATGTGGTACCCAATCTGAGCGGACTCGGCGGTGTTGGCAACATGCAACAATCAATTATATCACAATCGGTAAGTCAATCACCAATACGCTCCAGTTCAATTGATAATTTGTAAATATAAATCATTGATTATCAATCACGCCTCGAAAAATCCTCGAAATTAGGACTTCCTGACCTTCATGGAGGAATTAAACTTGATATTTATTAAATTGATCCCTTGATCACGAACATATATTTGTAACATCTATTGCCATCGGTACTTCCAGCTTGAACAATTGTCAGTAATGGAACACTTTTGATGCACCATGGTCTAGAAGAAGAGCACAAGTATACTTGCATGTTCCGTGGGGTCCGATTGGCCAGAAATTGAACTATTTCGAGCTGGAATTTTGTAAAATAAACATGTTTTGAGTTCAACTAATTTTAAGGTTTGCCGCGAAAAAAAAGCTTAAAGTACTTTCATGCAAAGTTTTTCGAGAGAAAAAAAAACCCATTTTCCAGCATACTCTTTTTCCGAGACTAATTAAAATAATTTTTCAACCACAATAAATTGTTTGCCATTATGCCAAATGTACACGAACTGAAATGTATCCCAATTATGCAGCGCATGCTAAAAAAAAGTTTATTCCCGCAGCGCCAAACTCGTGTAACGGTTTTCTCTGTTTGATAAGAGAATTAAAATTTGGTCACAATCAGATGCAAAAGTCTCTCTCACTCTCTCAAACTGGTCCAATAAATAAAATTTCCTGTAAACTGGGCCAAAATGTGTAACAGTTCGCATGAAAGTTGAAAATTTGTTGGCCATTAAATTTAGTTTGAAAACCCATTAAATCCAACGTTCTGTGAATTTGTATCATTTCAACTGAAGTGAATTCAAAAGTTGAATTCTATCTTTAGCAAATTGCAATGAACGTGTTCCAATCATCAAATATGCTGTTCAATTTCATTTATTACGATAGTCTTTGCGTGGATACTACAGATATCAGTGTGTGAAACTGAAGCGATTCATTGGTTCTACATGAATTTACCTCCATTTCAATGAACTACATCGTATTCCATTCGACACTTCAAGGATTGACATTTCTAAATTGGTTTCGTTTTCTTTTATTTTTAGCAGCAAATCAATTCAGCTCAGCCCATAGTTAAAACTGGTCGACCAATTGTGAATACCGCCAATTTGGCTGCGAACAATGCACAACAACACCAGGTATATACTTGTCAATTGTCTTTTTAACGGATACACAATCCATCTCTTCCATACCGTTGGTCAACATGATGAGATTTCCGTATTCCGTTTTTTCTTCTTGCATAAAAGTTTTCAATTTTCGTTCTTTTCATTCACCCCATCTTGCGCGCGCGCGCCGATGTTAACGCAGCAAAAACGCATTGAACGTGCTCATACTATTGCAAATGTTCGCGAAATGAATGGAATGTCTGATCAATCAATTGGGAATACATTCCATATGCCATCGTATATCCGTGGCACATCGTACAACGGAGCTATATCCAAAGAGGAGGACAGCGAAACAACAACAATGCAATCCGATTCGATGATAAATGAATTCAAGAATGCGCTGCGTATCATTTCGTCCGATGTGAACAATTGCGCCAAGCAGCAGCAACATCGCAACAACACTGGTGATAACGGTAAGCAGCTTGTAGCTATGTGCATGTAATATTGATGATGGTTTTGAGATTGAGTTTTTGTATCGCTTCAAAATGATGGTTCTAACATAAAATGGGTCAAATGGCACATTTTTCCACTCTCTCTCTCTCTCACTCAGGTTCGTTCTCCGAATTTGGTGAATTCGTTGCACGCGACAACTATTTCAATGCGTCGTCAAACAATACGATGAACAATTCGGCAAATAATTTTCCCATTGGCACGTTTTCAATTGAACAAGCAACGCAACCAGCTGCCAATCAAACGTTTCCACAAACCGATTACTTCAATCCGGCTACAGCTTCGCAGCTGATGAGTAAGTTTGTAGTAAAGTCTTTTCTTTCCTGGATCGAAAGCCCATGCAATTTGTATTGAATAAACTGAAACCAACCAAATCCGAACCCGTTTGTCAAAATAGGCAATGGCATCAATGGGACAACCGCAACACATTCGTTCCCAAGTACTAATGCGCATAATAATAACAACTCCAACAGCACTACAACCAACAACAACAACGGGTCAGGCGATGGAAATCAAGCAACTCGTGAAACAGGCATCATTGAAAAGCTATTGGTACTGTCCCTGATTAACCCAGAACATGCTAACTAAATTTACTAATTGTACTTTTTGTGTTGTTAAATTTCCACTTTCAAGCAGCACTCGTATGGATTCATTCAATGCTGTGAACGCCAAGCGCGTTTGTTTTTTCACTTTTCTCAGTTCAGTGGCAACATTGAACATTTGAAAATTGGCGATCCAGTTGAATTCGAAATGACCTATGATCGTCGTACGGGTAAACCGATTGCTAGTCAAGTGACAAAAATTGCACCGGAAGTGGTTTTATCGGAGGAACGTGTCACCGGTACGGTTACAACGGAAATTAAACAGGATGGCAGCGCAAGTGAAACGACCACAGGTCGTATTAGCTACGAGAATCGCGGTGAATGCTTCTTTTTGCCCTATACCAAGGACGATGTGGAGGGCAATGTTGTGTTGAGCTCGGGAGATAAAGTCAGTTTTCAAATTGCAACGAATCAACGGGGTAATTTGGGCGCATGTCACATTCGTCTGGAGAACCCAGTGCATCCGGTCAAGTATCGCGGTGTTGTCTGTTCAATGAAAGAATCATTTGGATTTATTGAACGAGCCGATGTGGTGAAAGAGATCTTTTTCCATTTCTCGGAAGCTGAGGGTACCGTTGAACTGCGCCCAGGCGATGACGTTGAATTCATCATTCAAACAAGAAACGTAAGTCGATTACCACTAGTACTACTTCAGCTCTTCGCTTTGATTCGACCATTTAACAGAGGTCGTCAAAGTGGCTTTAATGATTGATATTCGGAATATGATTTCAATTTTTTCTACGTTGAATCACAATGAATAGGGCAAAGAAGTGGCATGTAACATCAGTCGTTTGCCGCCAGGCTCAGTCGTCTTTGAAGACATCGGAACACTACAGTACAAGGGGCAGGTGTTGAAACCACTGGAACGCGCAAATCCGGTACGTCATAATAACGACCCGTTGCCAGGACGCATTCGCTACCGTGCAACTGATCACTCCGAAGTCGAAGTTCCATTCGGTGACAAAGATCAGGTAATAAATGTCTTAACCATTTTTAAACCGTAAGTGGACATAATTATTAAAATGTTTTGTTCGTTTTCATTGTGTCAGAAGGGCGATTTCACACTTCGCCATGGTGATTGGGTTCAATTCCTATTGGCTACCGATCGTCGTGATCAATTGCAACGAGCTACTTCAATTTCCTTGCTAGAGGAAACGTTCGAATTGTCGGGTGAACGACGTGAACAGGGCATGGTTGCATCGCTCAAAGATGGTTTCGGATTCTTGCGATGTGTCGATCGAAATGTTCGCCTATTCTTTCACTTTACAGAAGTTTTAGATACGGTACGGTTTTAGACATTTTTTCATGTTTTTTTCTTCTTCTAAAATTGAATTTTGACCACTTTCATTTATCAAAAACAATGCTAATAAAACAAAGTGAAAACAATTTGATTTCCATTTTGATCGCGTTACAGACACGAGAAATTCGCGTTGGGGATGAGGTTGAATTTACAGCGATTCAAGAACCTGGTTCGAGTTTCGCTAACAATAGGTTAAGTGCCATTAGAATAAAACACTTGCCTCCAGGAAAAGTTCAATTCGAGACTCTGATGGAAACAAATATTGAAGGTATGTGTCGTTCAAAACCGAAGCAGAAATAAGCTTCCTTCTGGTATTCGCTAAAATATTGGTGCAAATGAATTAGATGAATGCTAAAGCAAAATGAAAATCCTATAGGTACGGTGACACGTGAAGCACCGAGAAGCCCAGTGAAGTCTCAAGAACGAATGGAAGGCGGTGTAATAACGTATACACAAGCCAATACTAAGAAGACTATAATGTATTTCCTAAAAGACTGCGAAAAACCACCAAGAGTTGGCGATAATGTTCGATTTGATATTTGCCAAGTGAGTAATTGTCTGACTTGTTTGCGCATTCCGTTGAAAATGCTGGATATTTTTAAAAACATAATTGGTTTAATTGAATGTGTGTATGCGTGTGTTTATTTGTTCATTTCGCAGGTTAAACGAAACAAAGAGTTAATAGCTGTGAATATAGTCGATGTTCTGTGTATTCAACATCAAATGCAGCATTCACCATCGGATACGGGCAATGGCGTTCCGACTGCAAATGCCGGTAATAATGCAGATAGTGCACGCGTAACCGTTGCATTGACTCGCAATTTGAATGGCAAAGCAACGACTGTGACGGACACATTCAACGATGCAAACGGTGGTGCAACTAATTCGACCAAATATCAAGGCTTTGTGGCCGTATTGAAAGAGAATTTCGGTTTCATCGAAACCATTCAGCATGATGAGGAGGTGTTCTTTCATTTCAGCAATTTCATTGGCAATCCGAGCAATTTGGAACTGGGCCAAGAAGTTGAATACACATTGTCAAAGCGTAACGGCAGCAATTCTGGCAATTGTTTACCCGCTGAAAATGTTAAAATCCTAACACGTGGCTCCATTCCACAGCCAAAAGTGCTGGACTCGGCATACAATGGCATTGTAACGCGTCCATTGCGTTGCATCAATCCGGATCAAGAGGAGTACTCTGGTTTGATTCAATTGATCAATGATGCCGGCGAATCGGTGTCATCGCATGAATTCGGTATCACCAGTTTGATCAACAAGCGAGATTTGTTGCAAAAAGATGATCCCGTGGTGTTCAAAGTGGACGAAGCAAGCCGAGCGGTGGATGTGACAGCTGTACGAAAAAAGAAACGGGCGATCGTCGATTCGATAAAAGGCCAATTTGGATTTTTGAATTTTGAAGTTGACGAAGGCAAAAAGCTCTTCTTTCATATGTCCGAAGTACATGGCAATCATAACAATTTGTATCCCGGCGATTCGGTTGAATTTTCCGTTGTTACCAATCAGGTGAGCAAGGTTCGATCGATAAATCCAAATATAAAGAAGATTTATCATAAATTCTCTAATCACAATAGAATTTCCCCTTTTCTTCGATCCAACTAAATGGTTTCATTTTTTTTTTAATTTCTACTACAGCGAAATGGCAAATCATCCGCTTGCAATGTCGTGAAAATATCCGAAAATGTAGCACCGCGTCCGGATCGTCTGCTCTCTCGTCTCAAATTGAATAATTCAATTGATGAAAGCGTGCCTCGCCTCATTGTGATTCGATCACCAAAAGGACCCGAAGGAAAAGGTTTCTCAAGTGCTTACAGACAACCACGATTAGTCGGTATGTAGTTGAGTTATTTGTTGTATATTTTCGTTCAATGACCCCACAGTCAGTCATATAAAAGTTATCCCTACTAATCACGCCTCTAATTCATTGCAGGTGTTTTTGCGGAGTAAATTTAAGTAAAAAAACAAACAAAACAAAAATGAAAAAGAACAGAAGAGAAGAGGAGAGATGTTTAAATAGTACACACAACAGAATATATTACAAATAAAACTAATATAGTTATTTTCTCGATTGTTTTGTTTCTTTTTATTTTTGGTTTCACTGAGAATGAACAATCAAACATTATAGAGATGAAATATGAAAATGAAACAGTCGATCGAAATGTCTAAAACAAACACACAAACCAAATACACAATCTCCATACGCCATTAAAATTATATACAATAAAAACTAATTGACAGCGTTCAATAATGAAATTATTGCATAAATTCGAACAAAAAAATTCCAAGGTAAAAAAGTTGAAATGAAAAAAAAACTGAAATTCAATGTAAAATCACAATAAATGGATGTACAACAAATGGAAGAATCGTTTTATTTAAAAAAAAAACAGGCACACATTATTCTTGATTCCCCAGATTTATAAACCGATATCTAAATTGGATTGGAAACTAATTTGTGCACTTATTTTTATTTTAAGATAATTCTTTTTTCGGGAATAAAATGTGTGCTTCCGTATAAAAAGAGAAAACAAGTAGAAAAAAAATGAAAAGGTATTAGGAAACGAAAAAAAACATTAGGCAAGCAAAAATATGTTTATTTAACGAAAAAAGAATCAACAGCATTTTAAATAATCAATTTTACATTTGCAATGTGTGCAAATGCCACTGGAATTCGAGTATATTTAATTTATTATATTACAAAACATGTAATTGATATACGAAATATTTATCAAAACGGTATTGGCGAGGAGAGTAGGTAATTTTCCAATGTGCAGGGGTAGATGTATTTTTTTCGATATGTCTAGGCCAAGTGATTTTTTTTTTCGTCTGGTTAGAACATTGTTTTTCGGTTAAAAAGAAAATATGTTAGATGATACAAAAACAAGGAACATCCAACAGTAGAATCTATAGCGAATTTCGGTCACACATATGTTGTGGTGGTCGCGGTTAGCAAATACCCACAGTATCCGGAGGAATATTTCGATACGCGTCAAATAAAATCACATTTATTTTATTTTATAATTTGAATAAATAACAAAATGGAGTAATTAAAAAAAACTAAATGATTTAAACAAAGAAACAACAAATGCAACAGAAAAAATTGATGCAAATTTATGAAAAAATAGTGGCCTGATTTTTTCCCGGCCACTTTTCAGTATCTGTATCTGTATCTCGGCTACACGAGAATACGTCTATTCAAATGAAACACACACACACAACAACAACAACAAAACACTTAACTGAAACGATATATATATATATGTATATATATATAATATAAAAATTCATTTGAGAAATCGCGATAGAAAATCAAAAGAAAATCGCAAGCCCCAAACGGGCTTTAAAATGAAAGCATGAAGAAACACGAAATGACATTTTGAAGTTAGTATGAGACAAATAATTTTTGATTTCTTTTAATCGAAATGATATATGCAACTGTGCTAGTGTGTAGCGCAACAAAACAACACTAAAAATGATATTATAGTAAACGATATAAAAAGAGCAACTAATTAGACTTCAATGGTGAACAATTTAACACTTAAAATGTTGTTAGGAAAAACTTAGACTAGTGTTGTTAGCGGGTCATGTTTTGGAAAATGCGCAGATGTTTCATGGCCTATAACACGAACTAAGTGGGAGGTAGGCCATGAAACATCTGGGTCCCTCACAATCCGCTAACAACAAAAGTGTATGTTCTTTTTATACAGCCAGAACGGTTTGTTTTGGAAAATGACCCGGAATAAAAATAAAATCTACATGGAAAACAAGGAGAATACGCGAGGTTTAAAAGAAAAAAAATATAATAACATCTTCATAGAAAAAATGGAGTTAAAAAAATGAAAATGGGTCCGCAGGGACCCTAACAACACAGCAGTGTTAAGCCAAAGAATGAGAAAAAAAATAAAAAATTACAAAAAAATCAGCAAAAAACGAATTTGAATGTGTTTGATTTGATTTCATTTTTTTTGTCTAAATTTTCACGTTTTAAATTGGTATAGTAAAGGTAAGTCTATATATATAACGCAATTACTGCGATTTTCTACGGCCGATTTAGTAATTGTGATTGCTAATTCCACTTTGGAATGCTAATTCAACAGAAAATTTATATTCTGGGAGGTAAAGGAGAATATTAGAATGGAATTATTCGAGATTTCATTTATTTATTTGATATTTTTTTCCGAAAAAAAAATCATGAAAAGTGTAGAAATGATTTTCGAAATAACCGAATTCGTAGAAAAAATTGCGGTTCAACGTCAAAAGATGTCACTGCTGGATGGGTTTTTGATCTGTCAAGCGTCTGTCACTGCATCTCTGAATCCACTCTGGATTGAATGTTTCCACTGTCAATTGTTTGACGTTTGTTATCCGCATGTAATTTATTCAAAGGTAGAACAGTCGCTTGGCCTGAGAACGATCGCTTCAAACACGGTATTTAATTGGTGGAAGGAATCAATTGTCTTCGTTCCGATTTCGCATAGAATGTCACCGTTGTATGAACATTTAAAATGTGCACAGTGCAATTGCACTGAGGCACTGCTGTGGAAATCCATTGGAGAAAAGCAGCAGTTGTGCAACGACTGTTTCGAGCAGACCAAGAACAATACAAAGCAGGAAGCGGATTGTAATCGTAAGGCGTATGGCAAAACCGATGAACGTCGCAGTAAATTGAGAAAGAGCACAAGGAGTACAAGGTATAATGGTAAGAATGGCAGTGGTACAAACAATGCGTCCGGCACCACCAATTCAAATACAACAAAAACAAACAACACAAAATCCAGCGGACGTGGTCGTCGCAGCCTATTCCGAAGGCCACCAATGAAAGCACCAACAATAACTGCGACCACACAGCACGTGAACAGTTTGTTTTATAAGGTGAGTTTGAGCTCAAACTTGACACCATAACTTTGCAACTTTGAAAGAAAAAAAACTGACAAATGTCAAACGCATTCTCTAGGGTTCCTACATTCAAATCGGTGACATTGTTTCATTGTGTAATTCCAATTATGATGTATTCTACGCTCAAATCCGAGGATTAATGGTTGACAATTTCTGCGAGAAATCGGCCGCTATAACATGGCTATTGCCAACGCAAAGTAGTCCGCCGCCAGGCGAAGGTTTCGATCCAAGCACATATGTCATCGGTCCGGAAGAAGATCAACCGCGGTTGTTATCATGCATGGAATTTGTAATGCATGCTCCAAGTGATTATTATCTGGACAAAAGCACACCATATCCCCCAATCGATGCCGATCCATATAATTCGTCACAAAATTCAACCGGCGGTTTCATTTGGACAAGCATTGATGCCATGCAAAAACGCTGAATTCGTTTCATTTCATAATGTAAAATGGAAAATGTATCTCAGCTCGCATCATCCGACTTTGGTTTCGTATAAGAAATCATCTTCAGACTTCTTTTACTACCATTCGTTGGAGAATCATACTAAAATTTTATTTTTTATCCATTAAATCCATTGGCTGTCATTAATTGTTAACGGAAACAACACAAGTACACACATTGAATCGACTGATTGTAATATTATCTCGATGTAATTTATTGTAAGTATGCAAGAGACTCAAATCAATTTACTGTATTGAATTTGTTGTAAGATATTTGCATGGAAAGGCTCCAGTTCAAATTTTAGTGTTTGAGTCAAATTTGGTTCGGCTTGGGATGATCTTGTAGTTGAAAGGGAGGAAATGTTTTTAAACAAATAAATTTACCATATACAGAACATACGAACCTTTGAAATGTTTCTTCTTCTTCTTGCATTTAAAATGGCATTGAATTTGGAGAGAGAGGGTGATGCGAAGTTTTTATTGCAAAATCGATGTTGATTCAACATAAACAAAAGTTTTCTCATTGAAAATTGTATTGTGAATTGCGTTGGGATACGAATCTTGCATGTATATTCAATTCAAATGGTACGCTCTCAAAAACGACCAAAAAAACCTACGTGCGCACACATGGACACATATACACATACATACACGTACGCACAAACATCGAAGCAAATAGAAGGAGCGACATCATCACAGTTTATGACCATAAAAGGTAAAAATTGGTTTTGCACATATCGTTTGAATGTATTGGTGCTTGGGTGAACTGACGAGACTGAGCGCAAACTGAAGCCGGTTCACCACTACACCGATAGTCTGGGCTTTTCAAATGGCTTGCTTTGGCCGTGTACAAAATCTGATGTGGAAGTGCTATGCTTCTTCTTCTTCTTCTTCTTCTTCTTTTTAAATACACGTTCACATGCACGCACGCTCGCAACAATTTCTGTGTGCTCTGTGTGTGAGCCGGTTCAGAATGTATCGTTGTTGTACATTGGTATATTTCAAAATGTCAATGGGGATGCATAATTCCATCATAAATTGTCTGAAGCGAAGAAGAAAAGAATCCGATACCAATGCAATGCAATCCGGCAACACTGATTTCATATGCCGGATATTTCATATTGGTATACATTTCACAATGCGACAGTTTGATGCATGCATACCTCATTTTCGATTGAACTCGAGTTCAACACTTTTCCCATGATCACAGCAATTTCGGTTTTATAAATGATTGCGTGAATTTAATGAGATGAAAACCACAACCGTATCGATTATGTTGTGTTTTTCTCGTTGTGGCTGCCGTTTCTGTTTTGTTGCAATTCCAACCTTCGAAGTTATTCTCAGAGATTTGGAATGATTAGAAGTGATTTGGTTGTTGTCATCGTCGTCATTGTTGTTGTTGACGTCGCCGCTGGTTTCCAACGCTTACAACATGATGGTATAAATAGGAATGAATTCGGCATGTGAGTAATCAACACTCTCAACGAATGGATAGTTTGAATGAGAGATCTATGGATCGTCACTCTCTCAATGTTATTTTTATTAGCAGACGTAATCAGCGAATGAACAAATGCGCCTGCGTACTTGATTTTCTTTGGACCTAAATTCGAATGGATTTGTACAAAAAAAAAATTGAACTCCACATTTTTTTCATCCTTATTTGGTTGTTTTTGGAGGGAATCAACTGAATTAATGAAGAGAAATTGGATTGGCAACACTTTTCGATCGATCGCCCGTTTGATTTCGGCATAAAGCGATCGTGTCAGTGTCGTTTTTCAGCCCATTTCACATGTATTGGCCATTCTTGTGAATGATATTTCCATGGACATTGGAGGTAATGATTTGTAACTGCAGTCTCGTAATGAAACGCAATCTTTTCGACGAAATGGCAACACTGCATCCTCTTCCAACCATTTAATCAATGGCCAAATGTTGATGTTTCAATATTGTTGGGTAAATGTGTGTGCGTGCGCGTGTATCGTGTATGCAATGGTGGCTTTTTATGTGTATGTGTGTGCGGTGTCGGTCGCATCCAGCGCCTATAATACACTATACGTGTATTAGGTGTTTCCATTCGACGCGCCGTTTGCCATTGTATGCGTGTGATTGCGTCCGTATTAATACAAAAACGTTGCTCAAAGTAGCTGGCAAACGAACGAGAAAAGATTGTCGCCATTGGTTTTTGTGTGTTGTATAAGTCAACATCTTCTCCTCTTCTCTCATTTAAAACGAGAAAAAAATACGATTTTTTTTTAAAAACCGAAATTTTTTTCAGAAAAAAAATCCGTCAACAATTTTTTTTTCCTATTTAAAAATAGTGGTAAAAGCAGCCGACGTTTTTTATTTAGTTAAAAAATATCAAACCAAAGTTACTGTGGTAAAAGCCGAAAGAGCTCCGCAACCGAAACAGAGAAAAAAATACACCGCACATAGAATACAAAATCGTTTGGATTAACTTAGGAATACGAAAAAAGTTATACCAAAACACATAAAAAATGGTATGATTCTTAAATTTTTTTTCTCTGCCTAGAACACATTTTTTTTCTCCATCAGTTTATTTCAGTTGAATTTTTCCATTTCATCATTTGTTTGCCGTTTGACCGGAAAAGTAACAAAAGTATCATTTCGTTTGCAAAAAAAAATATAGTTAAAGTTGAGTAAAAAAAAAACAGAATAAAAAAGAACGAAGGAAAAAAATTGGGGAAATTTCGCTACGTTAAAAATGCGTCTTTCCGGTTTGATCTCGCTCATTACAAAAACAACAACAATACCGATTAAACCACAGCCAAAGCGAAGAATTACTAAACGAACGAAAAAGAACGAAACTTTCTGAGTGACTGAGTGTGAATGCAACGAACGCAAAACCAGATAATTTTTGTTTACGATGCAAATAATTTTTTGCACCGAAGAAAAAGAACAACAAGACATTGATTGAACGAAAAAACTGACGAGTCTAAGACTAACCGAAAAGAAAAATCCAGCCGTATTGTTTGTGTGTTAGTGTTGACGTGCAGTTCGTTTTTTTGTCGCTTCTCTTCGTACAGTTCCTTAATGTTGCATTCATTTGCAGTGATTTATTTTGTGTGATTTTTTGTTTGTTTGTCTGTTGTTGCTGAATTTAATATTTGTACAAACAAAAAGCCAAAGAAATCAACACCAATGAGCTTCAATTCACTGTCCAGAACCAAAGCGCATTGACAAAATTGATTTCAAAGCAGTAAAAAAAACACCTAAATGAGCGAAAAGCGTAGTGAGAGAGAGGAGAAAAAAATTCATGAATTGTTCTCGCTTCAAATGATTCCGATCATCACTCTGCCTCATCGGTAGCGCGTTATTTGCGCCGATCAATTCTTCATCGCCCCGTTGTTTCAGTGTCCGGATTATTTGGCATTTGCATAAATCCAAATCTACGCTTTATTTTACAATAACAGAATGAAGGAAAGAAAATCCGAGAAAAATACGAAGAATCACACACACACACACACACACACACACACTCACATGCACCCATATGCACGTATTTCCCCAAAATAACGAGCAAGAAAAGTAATTCTTTCTGCCCATTTGAGTAATGTACTCAGTACGCCGGCTGTGTCAGCCATTTATAAATCGCATTTTAAACTGTTCTGAACAAAGATTTTCTGAAACTTTCTCTCTCTCGCTCGCTCTTTCTCTTGGTGACACAAAACACCCTATCATCAAGAGCTCATTTCATTCGTATGGCTTAGCCTCGCAAAAAAATAAATAAAAATCGTTGCGTCAATCACTCCATATTTCAATGTGAATTGAAACATTTTTCATATTCGTTTTTCTCTGTCAAAGAATATCAAAATGTTTATAAATAAATTTCGAGTCGACTCGAATTTTCGCCGCCCCAAAAAAATATATATATGAAATAAAAACTAGCAGCAACTAATACGAAAAGAATCGGTGTTCGGCACATGCATATGTGTGCGAAGAGGAATACACACACGCTCACACACACACACACACACACAATCATGCAATCATTCAACACAACCATACATGTTGTAGCGTAAAACACCGAGAATGAAAGATAGCGAAGCGAATGAACAGTAGACATTGTTCGGGGAAAAAAGGCGTACCGCGTGAAATGAAACATAGGCAGAGGCAGCAGCTCTATAACACATTTGCGGCTATGGCAAAATACCGCTATGAAAGTGTGTTTGAGTCCAAGTATGGCTACAAAACTAAAACTTTTTTCTTCTTCTTCGTCGTCGTCGTCTTCTTCTTCTTCTAGTGTTTCGTAGCGAAAAAAAAACGTTCAAACGTTTTTGCCGGAGAAAGGAAAGTGCTTTGAAAAATTGTATATTATGCCCGATGAAAAATGTATTTTGTTGGTGGCGAATTCTCGCCCAAAGCTCCTGATTTGTATCATTGCCGATTTTATTTTCTCTTCTTCTTCTAATTTTATCGTCGCACCATTGGCATAATCATACCATAGCCACGAACACAAACCGTTTATTCTCCTATTTTTAGCGTGTGTGTGTCAATATTCGGCACGTTTTTTCCCCGTACTTTTCTGCCTGTTTTTTCGATATTGCCTGTTATTGGAATAATCGTTCAATGATAATAAAAACAAAGCAAAATTGTCGTTGCTTGAAATCAAGAAAAAATTGAACGACGCTGAACGAAATGGCTTTTTTCCTTCTTTTTATTTATCAATCATGAATGCACGCCGTAAACTGATAAAAACCCAAGTAATTTGAGTAAGGAACGCATATCGGAACAAGAAAAATATTTCAAAAATGACGAATCGCTGCGCGGTTGTACGAACGAAAAAAAAAATGATGACTTAAATTAAACGATCCGTCTTTTTCTTCGCACATTACTCACACAAAACGAAACATAGAAAAATAAAATCGCTTGTGATCGTTTTATATTGAGTGAAAAGCAATTTTACAGCCAGTACGTCGTAATGTGCAAAAAGTTTCGGATTTCGTTGTGGTTTGGTTATCACACAATCACACACACACACGCATACACTCTCAAATGACGTGGTTTATCTCTGTTTTTGGATTTAATCCATTTTCAAAATGAAAATGCGTCATCTGATACCACGAAAGAGCAATTGGAACAACGATGACGGTGGCTTACTGATGCCACAGACAGCCGACAATGATGACTCATTTGTTTGACATAACCAAAACGCAGAGTGCAATACTGTTGCTGCGACGGCTGCTATTGCAATCGATAAGCAGTTGCTACGTCTGTTCATCAGACAAAGGAGAGTACCATTTCCAAGTTAATATTTCCTTGAATAATATGCGTGTATGTCTCTTGCTCACACACACACTCACTCAAAAACATTTTCGACTTGTTGTCACTATGCGCTTTTCTCACTCAAATGCAATTCATCGTGATAGTTTCCTCCGAAATATTTCTAATTTTAAATTTGTTAATGTATCCTCACAAGGAAACGATCAAAGTTTTAGATGGGGGAAAAAATGAGTAGCGTTTACGCCACCCAAGAAAAAAGAAAACACACACCGTCGAACTAACGGGGAAATTTTTTTTAAAAAAGAAAATCTATATTCAAATTCGTTTGCAATGATTTCTATTTATAAAAATACACGCCTTGACTTTGCGAGAAAGCTATAAATTGTTTTGCTGTATGTTGTTAATGTGCGAGAGTTTGGATCAAAGTTTATGAAAATGATATTTTGCCAGCGAGCGAGTGGCTAAGAAAGAGCATGAAAGAATGATATAAATATAACAGGAATATATGGGCAGTGTACGAGTGCTTCAATATCCTAGTCGAGTTGTTGTGCAATAATGGAATGCCATTAGCAAATGAGTGTTGCTTGACTCTATCTGTACAATTTGATCAGAGGGGACACTCACCCACACACATGCACATAAACTCATCATTTTGCACGTATCCATTTATGGACACCGATTTGACGGGCACTCACTCGTTGCATTGATCTTCCGATTCTGATTGTTTGTTTCACGAGCCCGCGTAGGTTATGACCGTCAACTGTTTTAGGGATAGAGAACCGAATAGAAACGAACAAAAAAAACACAAAATCATTTGAGCTTGTAATTTGTTTTTGGTGTGTTGTACAGACTGTGGCGTCTGTAACATTTAAACAACAACAAAAATTCTCTCGATTTCAATGCGCGCTTTCGTTCAACATCTTCTTCATTTTTCTTCTCTGTCTCCTCATTTTCGAGACGATCTTTTTTTTCCTCTCTTCAAATACACGAAGACGACGACGACGACGACGACGACGACGATAGCAGCAGCAAGATATATTCGCATCGTGCAAGTATCGTTTTTATTTTTCAGTTGGTACTTGGTTTGTCTATCTCTTTGGGCGCGCATCAATCGCATACTGTATTTTGAATGAGAGAGAGAATCGAATGAACGAGCAAGAGGAAGAGTGAACGAGAGATAGAAAGAGAGTCCATGTGTCGTGGTGTATGTGGCAAATGCACTGAAATATGTGCTTCTATGGAAGTTCTTCATGAATCGGTCGGGCCGCCGCTTGTAGTTGTCGATCGGGTGCTGCCTTTGCGTACGATTTGCGCAGACGTGTACAAATCATATATATATATATATATATAGAAGCAAATGTTCGCTTGGTTCATTCCCTCATTCCATTCGTATTCTCGCTTGCCTGTACTGGTCATTTGCTTGCTCACTCGCTCGCTATATCTCGGCGCTCGTTTTCGTCGTTGTCGTGCTTCATTTCAACAGTATGGTCTTTTCTTATTCAGTATTTCTCGATATTCTAAGCGGTGTTTCATACATGTATGCATTTGTTTGTGTGTAGTCGGCATATTCGCTCAAATAGAGCAAAGCAAATATGAATCATCTCTCTATTCAACACAATCGTACTATTTCTGAATGCCAAATTATTACATGTAGAATTTGCCACTCGAACAAAATGTGTCGATGTTGCGTTTTATTCCTTCGTCGTCGTCGTCGTCTTCGTCGTCGTCGTTACTTTTCATTCTCTCTCTCTTCTGTTTCGTCTTGCGCTCACATTCAATAAGCAAAAAAAATTGAATTGAAAACAACAACTGTACGACACAGAGACAAAAACGACTTGAATGTGTGATATCTTTTTTGATGTAGAGAGACACGTTAAATATTTGATTCATTGTTTCCGAATATGGGCAGAAATTGCTGTTGTATTTTTTTTTAATTCTTCCATTTGCGCGCTGCTGGCAGCAAGTTAAACAAAGGTGTTATATTAGAATAACTCATGGTGATGGCAATGTACTCAAATAGTCATAAAATGAACTGAACGAAAAAAAAAAGTATAATGAAACAATGCCAACCAACAAGTTGGCTCATTATTCCAATAATAAATAACCAGATCTCCAAGAAAGAGATACCAACGCCAAGAATTAACCGTTTATTTTCACATTTTTCGGCCTGGTTTTATTTGTTCATGCGATATTGATGATGGTACCGGCTGTTGCTGCTTTGTTTACTATCGCACCATGAAAATCAGTTGGCCTGATGTGTGGCCAGAGATTGCTTTTTTCTCGTCACAATCTAATGACAACCTCTTCTTTAACCGATCTAAGGACACGAAAATGTCGAACCTTCGCTGTGCCAAGCATTGTGGATAGAATCCGAACGAAGCAGGAGGGCTAGGCAAAACCGTTAAAACAACACGAATAACATGTGCTTTCACACCACACACATGACGCACCATTTTTGAGCAAAGAGGAAATGTACACAATTTCCGTTGCGCTTTCACCGTCGCATTTTTCGTTGCTGTTGCCATTGCCGTTGTTGTCTTTAGATAATGCCCAGGTTGTTTACCCTATGATCGCATTTATTGCCGTGGTTCACGTGAAATTCCGGCAATTTCGTTTCGTTCGCGCAACAAGGCGTCGTGGGTTAATTTTCGCATTGAGTCAAATTAAATTTGACTAACATATTTTTTATTCACTGCCATTTGTCATCGGGTTTAAACGATTTGCACATTTCAACGGAATTGGCGTGAATACACACACATAATACAGCAGTACATAAACAGCCAGTTCATATAATGGCGAGCGTTGTATTTGCGAATGATGATTCATTTGTTGTGACTGTGCTGCGAGCTGAAGTGGCGAAGTGGCAAACCGTCTCTGCCTCTTCGATTTCATATCCAATGACTTGCCTTGGTTTCCAATATTAACCAACTTTTGTTTTGTTTCAATATCAGAACCAATGAATGATCAGAATATTCCCAACACTTCGCACGTATTTTGATTGTTCACGCTTGAAAATGTGTAATCACGATCATACGAACTTTGCACTCCATCACGGCCCCCCCTTCCTCTCTCTGTCTCGCTACATAAAAGAAAAGCGTGCTCAAATCGATGCGATTGCGATGTGTTTCTCTTTCTTCTCGAGATTTGATGTTGTTGTTGTTATTGTTTGTGTTCATGTATGAAAATAGCACGCAAACGATTGTGAGCGCACAGCAGGCAAACACTAAATCTTATTATTTAAAAGAATGAATATTATGTAGGCGCTGAAATTGTGTACGAATTGATATTAAAACATACCATTTGTTGGCACCGTCCTTCGTTATTTGACGCGATTATTTAAGATGTTATGATTCTTATTTAATTTCATTTTGTTTCTTTTTTGTTTGTTCGTCGTGTGTGGATCGGTCGAATCCGCAACGCATAAACGGTCGCACCATTTGCGATGATTTGTTTGGTTCAGCGATCGCACAATGAACCGATTTCTACGTATTTTTGAAATGTAACGCACCGAAAAACAGTCTATTTTTCAAATCATTGATAACAAATTTGGTTGGTGGCCCCCATCCAAAACGAGAGGCAACAAGACACAGACGTAGAAAGCAACAGAGAAAGAGATAGAGAGAGCAAGATAGAAAACATCCATTTGGTTTTTGAACCAAAAATATTGACGAAGACATAATGTTTCACCATGGATTCGGAACGTAGAACGTTGAAAATGATGTGCCGCTAAAAATAGAGCGCGTCAAAAATGCGCGCACTTCTTCTTCGGTTTGAATTTGTTGTTTTTTCTTTGTGTGAAAAATTCTCATCATCGCGTGTGGATTTTCTTATTTTTAAAAGAAAAAAAAACGGTCTGATTATGTCTGGTCGTTGGTGCTTTTCCTCTCAATCTCTGAATCTCTCTTTCTCTCATCGCGTGGATTAGTTCATTCTCGATACAGTTCTACGCACTTTGTAGTCAAAGTGTGTCGACCGCGTTGAAAAAAAAGTCATTTCAAAATCCAAGTGATATTGATCGTTCTAAGAAAAAAAGGTCGTTCACAGGATATTTTGCTTTGCCAGCACCCCCAACGATTGAACAAATCAACGAAATTGTTTATATGGCAACTATTTTCGACAGCACATAAATTGTTTGGGCGATTTTTTGGAAAACCACATTGGCAACGGACAACCGTCATCATTTCCATTTGATATCTCATGCAAATGTCGAATGAAAATAAGCAAATTCTCCAAAATGATGAGTTTTCCGTTGAATTGCTGTGCTTGCCATTTCCTCCAATTCGAAATACATGAGAAATGGGGATGGGCAAACGCACGCAAACACGCTCTCTGGTATCAAGCGCAATCAAACTGCATTTGAAGCATGCATCATTCGACCACGTTCATGTCTGTAACGCCGTTATGCCTTGTCATAGCACCGAAATAAATATTGATTCCATTGCAAATGCCGATTTCCATCGACTTGATCATCATTTATAGAAGGGAAAAAAAACACTAACAAACTAGTGCGCTGATTTCTGATTCTTTTCAACTTGCGTTCCACATGAATATTGATTTACGAACCGTTTTCCACCATGCATATAATGCGCGCATATTTCTACATACCGCAAATGAAAAATAAAACTGTGTATTAATAATTTAATCAGTGAAAAAAAAGTAAATGAAGAAGAAATAAAGCGAAACACGTATGAAAAAGTACTGATATCATCAAAACATAATGATTGAAAGTACTTTTTTTTTGTTGTTGTTGCGTTGTTTCTTCGTTTTGTTTTTTTTTTTTGCTTCTGCTTTTATTGCGCGAAATCACTTCAAATGAAAATTGTCTGCGATTTGATTGCACTCGTACTGATACACCTATCGGCTCTCGGTAAGAAGCGATAATAGATTAGTTGGTAATGGTGTCTAGCACTGCTCAACACAAGCCATTTGCCATATAAGTACATGCGAATTTGCGATACAATAGCAGCAATGGACAATGCAAAAGACACGCCGCGTTTTGGCTGTCTGGATGGGTGCAATCGGAAAATAATAAAAATCAGGCTCTCAGACGGCAAGTATACAATTCACGCTTTGTCTTGTCTCGATGCTACTTTTACTACGACACAACTTGCTACACAGTTCATGGCAGCCAAGAGAAGGAGCCATAACTTCTTCGTAATTTTACCATACATGACGTACCATTTCATTCAAGAATTCAGACACAAATCGGTTTTTGATGATTGGCACATTTAAGTGGAAACCAAAACACAACTTCCACAAAGTTCTTCTTCTCTTGTTCCTCTTGCCTCTAAAATATTAATCGTTGTCAATCGCGTCGTCGTCATCGTCATTTTTCATTATGAATTGGTTGGCGTGTACAAACCAATGTAAAAACGGCTTATTCACGCGCGCCGCACCAACACGCCACCGCTACGCCGTATCCGCCGCTTTAGTAGTAGTGACTCAGTAGCGGTGCTGTAGTAGCGCTCTATCGTCAATTTTTATCGTGATTACTTTTCCATATTTGGTAATAAAGATTTGCGCATTTTTCTTTTCGTTTGCATTCGAAAACAAAAGCTTTTATATGCATAATAAACACAATGGATACAAATAGATTATGAACCAATGTGTATGCATATTCACACGCAAAGCGGTTTTGTGCTGAATTCAATGTAGTTTGAACAGAGAGTAGAGACGAGCGAGAAAGAAACAAAAAGAAGAAGACAAAACACAAACTATGTGTATCAATATAAAATAATATACTATATACACACACATCAAGCGAATTGGAAGGCGAATGCGAATCGCGAATACACGCCTATTATAGCGGAACTGCACATGATCAAAACATTGAGTGAAACAAACGAAACAGACAAAGAATGAGAGTAACACAGTAATCGAAATATGAGTAACTGAATTGAAATTATTATTTACGTACACATCAGTGGAACATATCACGGAGTGAGTGAGTTGTTGTCGAGAGACGACCCATAGATATACCACCAGTTGTTGACGATTTCATTTTGTTGTTGCAAATTGAGCGAAATTGGTCATATACACCATATAAGTTTATCGTACACGTAAATAATAATAAACACCACGATTTTGGACGCTCAGCACAGCACCACATTTGGGTTGATAAAGTGATAAGCGATCTTGATCGAACCGAGTAACACACATATTTAAATAGAAAAATGGTAAGCGACCCAAACAGCGGTTCGATTCGGTCAAACGGCAAACATTTTGTTCATTGGTCCAAAAAAAAAATGAAAAGTGTTCACTCCATTTACCCAAAATTCTAACCATTTCTCCCCTTTTTTTCATTTCATTTGCACAGGCTTCAGGAGTAACTGTTTCAGACGCATGCAAAACCACGTACGAAGAAATCAAAAAAGATAAGAAGCATCGCTATGTCATCTTCTACATTAAGGATGAGAAGCAAATTGACGTCGAAGTGGTTGGTGATCGTAACGCTGAATACGAACAATTTTTAGAAGACATCCAAAAGGGCGGCACTGGTGAATGCCGGTAAGTGTTGTGTTGAATACACTCTTCTACCCGTGTGTGTGTGTGTGTGTGCGTGTGTGTGCCTGTGCATGCATTCGAATTATTGCATGGCTTTTTGCCTCCGCTTTTTATGCTCTACACTGGACGCATAAAAACTTCAAATAATTCGCATAGAAAACTGATTTTTGAATTAACAAGGTGCTCATTTCCCCATTCGGATGGAATTTGCATTTAAGATTTCAAAAACATTTCACATGAAAACGGGCAATTGAATATCGTGAGCTCATCAACTCAGTGAATAATTGTTATTTATGGATTATTTTTGCTGCATTGCAATGAGACTCGCAGATTAATGTTTTGTTTAGTATGGTTCAAATTTGATAATAAATGCACTAGGATTTGAACTAACCAAAGACAAATACAGTCTCTATCGTCTAAGAATAAAACTGCGGAAATTGAATGCTGCGAGCTCATCAACTCGGTGAATAATTTTTATTTCTGAATTATTCGCTGCATTTCAACCAATAAGACTCGCAGATTAACGTTTTGTTTAGTATGGTTTGAATTCGATAATAAATACCCTGGAATTTGAACTAACCAAAGACAAATACAGTGTCTTTCATCTAAGTTTGTGATTGTGTAGTGCAAATTTGAAATAGATGACTGATTTGATGACAAATGACTGATTTTTAATTATTGTCCTTCTCTCTGTTGCAGATATGGTCTTTTCGACTTCGAATACATGCATCAATGTCAAGGCACATCTGAAAGTTCGAAGAAACAAAAGCTATTTTTAATGTCCTGGTGCCCAGACACCGCCAAAGTAAGTAACACATCCATCTATTGTGTGCATATTTAATGCTCAACTCTATCAATCATAACTACCCTCCCAGATAACTCATACTAATCTGTATCTTCTCTATTTTTCTCGCCACCACAGGTTAAGAAGAAGATGTTGTACTCAAGCTCATTCGATGCATTGAAGAAATCGTTGGTTGGCGTACAAAAATATATTCAGGCTACCGACTTGTCGGAAGCATCGCAGGAGGCTGTGGAAGAAAAATTGCGTGCTACTGACCGTCAATAAGCAAAATCTAATTTAAACAAAAGTGAAAACCACAATAAACAACAACAACAACAACAACAGCAACAACACGCATAGAAAAGAAAAAAAATTTCAACTTAAACTGAAATCAACCATCATTTTTCTGATCATATGAATCAGCCACATACAACTGCAACAGCAACACCATCAGCCACCAATATCAACCGATTCAGAAATTACAGAGAGAATAAAAAAAACGAAAACATACATACAAACACAAAAAAAAATCGCTAAATACATAACTCAATTTCAATCATACGACAACCGAGGAGCGTACCATAGCAAACCACTACTTTTTTTAACAATAAGCTGAAAATAATTTAAAAACAACAACAACATCAACTAAAGATATTCAATCATTCAAAATAATCATTTAATAAAAAAAAGCAACAAATTTAAATAAAGAAGAGAAAAAAGTATGATGAAATAATTTAAAACAAAAAAAAGATGAAATTGAAACTTAATTGAGGATGAAACAATAAATATAATATTATTATAATATAACAATGTCATTCAGAATTACATCTCTTTCATAAAAAACAACAAACAAAAAAAAACAAAAACAGGTGCTTTGGCTCTCTTTTCTTTTACTTGATCGTCTCTTGGCGGATTTTTTTTTCTCCGGAATTTTAGCATTTTCAAAGATGTTTTGCGGACTCAACAAATGAAGCAAGAAATATTTGATTGACTTGATTTTTACACTTGATCACTTCTCTCAATGCAAGTTTACGGGCAACTGGTGATTAACAGCTGTTCAATTTTCAAGCTGGTGGGACATTTTGATCATATTTAGCTTGAGTTCAAAATAGTTGTTCTCTTTTCGGGTCACATTCTGGCTTTATCTCAACGATATAAATATTTCTTCGACGGTTGACGTGGATGCATTCAAGAAAAACGACACACAATCGTCAATTTATCAGAGTAGTATATGAAAATTATGTAATGTACGGTTAGTAAAATGGAGGAAAAAAACGGAGAAAAAACGATAAGTCAACTCCCGGACCAAGTAGGTTCTAAATAAATGAAATCAATAACTTTTCTGATAGCATGACGAATAATTTGAAATGGAGCGATAATTTCGATTTTTTCAATTATTTTCTAAAATGGTCATTTTTCTTGTTTTTGCTTCAATTAATATTTTATTTAAAGGAATTTCAAACTTGTTCATAAAAATTACCATTTTGTGAAACTCCTAACCGTCAATTTTTACCGGAAAATTCGAATATTTCTTCATATTGAGAATATTTCAATATATTGATATTGAAATGCTACAGCAATGAAAAAAACGTAGGATCTATCAATCACTTGTCATATCAATTTCATATGGTTCGTCTTTTCGATCGGCTACTATTTGAAAAATTTAACGATTTTAGAGCTCTTCAAATTAAATTACCGATTTCTTTGGAAAATATCCTAGAGAAATGTCATGTCAAACGTTTGGACTCAAAGGATTGTTTGTCTCTGTCATTCAAGAATATTGCAAAAAAAGAACTATTTTCAATAACCGTTGGGTATTTATTAAAATTTAACGAAAAACAAATCGAATAGTATCTATGATTTTTCAATCACCATAGAGTCATTGTGTGCATGTATATGCAAATGCAGAGTGTGTTCTAGTGTGTAGATGTTTTACTCATTATTTTTTAACGGACTGAAGTGCCATACCAATGAAGTGTGTACATTTGGTTTGGAATGGAAGCAAAGTATGAGGCGCGAACACGTCAGTGCAAGTGGTAGTAAGAGACGATAAAAGAATCATACAAAGCGCGCACCCATTGAATCGAACGTTGGTGTATATGTCATTTTGGTTTCACACCGATAGTCGGTCTAACGCATTGCAACGCAACCGTGTGGAGAAAAAAAAGACGTTAGACGACCGAAACAAACGCGTTGTGAGTGTGTTTGTCAAGTGAAAAACGCGTTGTGCTGCGCTTGTGTGTCTCTGTATTTTTGTTCTTTTTTTCTTGCACGATTGTTGTTGTTGTTGCTGTAGTTGTTGTTGTTTCGACAGCCGTAATAAATGTCAAACATTTGCATACTAAAGTCGATTTCATGTCTGCAGCAAAAGGAGAAGAAAAATAAGGTAGTTATCATATAGTTGGTATTTTTTTTTGGGTGAAGAGAAATTGTGCGGGGAAAATCAAAGCAGCGAATAGGAACAACAGAGCCAAAACAAAAGAAGAAACAAAAACAATATTCGCAAGTGTTGGAATTGGAGTAGCCCAAGAACAAGAAAAGTCATCGCATAACGATAGAAGGGAGAAAAAAAAGAAGAATTAACGACACAGTCTCTTATAGGGAAAAATGTTTTCGTCATTACGCTTGATGTGAGTATAGTAATAATAATTTTTCGTAATATCTTTTGATCGGTTGAGCGCATACCATACACTCGATTCTTTGTGTTTTTCGTCATCGTCGTCGTCGTTGTCGTGTGTACACCACGATGTGTATGGTTCGTTTGATGCAAGTGCGGACTTTGTTTTATTCACATCCAAAGTATCATTTTTGTGCATCCAGATTGCGTTTGTTCAATGATTTTCATGAGTGTATGCGTTATGGTCATTTTAATTTGTCCTATCTTGTCAATCGAAATTTATTTAATGCCTGAATACACACACATCTGGACACGATCAGTTTCCCTTTTCAACTCCTTTTGATGACATCACAGTGACCAATCAATTTTTGAAATACGTCTCTTCCATTGTTCGGCCATATGAATGACAAAAATAAATTGTGAAAATATAAAAATTAACCAACCAAATAATTGAGTCAAAAATTACGGATTCAAACATCAAAACATGTGCGATTGATGATTCATTGAAAGGTGGTCCGGTGCAATGAACTGATGTGACAGTGTTGAAACTAACAGAAAAAAAGACAATCTGGTAAAATTGAGTGTGTCCATCATGAATGCCTGTGACTAATACAATTTTGACATTTGTTATGGTTCAATATTGGCGCGGATGCAACTGCTTTCTATATCGGTAGATGTATTGCATTCGAAGAAATTCACCGAATCCAAGTGAAATAATCGATCAGTACAAAAACGCCTTTAGCCAGCATACGGTGGAACAGAAATATCAACATACAATGTAAATCTTAATTCTAATGCCGAGAATTTCTCTCCAATTGTAGGTTTTCATTTGAATCGATGTGTAAATAAACCGGATAACCCAAATAAGCACATGAATTTATCGAAGCAGACAACAACATCGGTAACACAAGTCTAGTGCGTACGACGATACGTTCATATTCGATATTTGAGAATATCGATTCGATTGTAATGTTTTCAAACGGTCTTCCGTGCAATTTACCATTCCCGAGTTGCTTAGGTGTGCCGAAAGATAGTGGAAGTGACGAACTACTGCCGACAAGTATGGGTAATCGAGAACCAGTGATCCTAAATGTTTACGATATGGTACGTGATATTGTGATGAAATGGACTGATTTTGTGCCAATTCATTGTACCAACATGAATCGTTTGTTTGATTTTTAATTATTGGAATGGAGTTCAAGTTTAAGTGTGGAGAAGAAGCAAAAACAACCAAGAAATATGTTTGCCTTAATTAATTGCATGTGAGAATGTATAAATTTCAAAGGCCGATCGAAACATCGATGCAAGCCTACAAACTCATCGTCTGCGGCTCGTCCGCAATTAAATTCAATTAGACAAAAGTAATTACTCTGGTAAAAGTGAACTGAATGTTCTCAAAATTCGATCGAAAAACCAAAAGTGCGTATGCAATTTATTTTTTTCGATTGGTTGCGAGCGCACTTGATTCGTGCGCGCTTGATGGAAGTTGATAAATTAACAACCCACACACAATCTCCACGTCAATTGTTCGTGGTATGAGTGAAATTGAACTTCAAAACCGTTTGAATATTTTCGAATGACTCGCATGCGATGACCTTTAAAAGTTCAGCCAAGTAAAATGCCTTAATAAATTAATATCCAAAAGTAATTTCACATTGAACCAGCTGTCGCTCGAACGATTTTTGGCACATCAATTGTACAAGCAATCCATGTCTCAGTAGCATCGCTTATTTGATTTCTTTTCCTTTGATTTCCTCTTAGTATTGGATAAATGACTACACAACCAATCTGGGGATCGGCGTCTATCATTCAGGTGTTGAAATTTATGGCAGCGAATTTGCGTACGGTATGTACATTGGATTTGGATTCGATAACGTTGACATTTTCTTGTGAAAACCAACAAATTACATAAAAATATTGCTCATTTTCAGGTGGCCACCCCTTCTCATTCACTGGCGTATTCGAAATTACGCCACGGGATCATGATGAATTAGGCGAACAATTTCGTTTTAGGTAATTTTCCATCCCAATTGTTTTGATTATTGCTCCACATTTTCCATGGTTACTAATCAATGGGTTTTTGGTCCGGAATGGATCCATTTCGGTTTGTTCCGTTCAACTTGTAGACAAAGTATTCAAATCGGCTGTACAGACTTCAACGAAGAAGAAGTTCGACGTATTATAGAAGAAATTGGTAATCAGTTCCGTGGAGATCGATACCACCTAATGAACAACAACTGCAACCACTTCTCTAGTTCATTAACACAGGTAAGAGTGATAGAAAATAATTGATATTGATGCTGTGCAATTTTGATCAACACCGTTCATTGCTCTTCGTTGTGTTAGATATTGTGTGGCCAAGAAATCCCTAGCTGGGTTAATCGTTTGGCACATTTTAGCTCATGTGTGCCATTTCTACAACGCTGTTTACCAAAGTGAGTATCCACATCATTCACACCACAATTGATTTGACACCCATAAAACCAAAGAACAACTTATGAGCTCTTTATCCATAAATGAGACGGAAAAAAACTTAAAGCAAAAAAGAGGCGAATAAAGTTGCGAGCAAAAGTGATACAACTCAGCATTGAGCGGAAAAGACGTTTTTTTTGCATTTTTCCTCGCTACTGGAAAGAGATAACGATTTGATGTCTTCGGCATATTTGTAGAAAATAAAAAGAGCTACAAATAAGCCGAAGACTCCTAGTCGCTATCTCTTTCCAGCAGCAAGAAAAATGTAAAAAACCTCTTTTCCGCTCAAGTTCCGCTGAGTTGTGTCATTTTTACTCGCAACTTTATTTATCTCAGTTTTGCTCTAAGTTTTTTTCCGTCTCAGTTATGGTTAAAGAGCTCATAAGTTGTTCTTTCATTCTATGGATGACATTTAATAAGTCAAGATGAATCCGTTGAATAACCCATGATACTAAATTATGTTTTACATTTACAGAGAGTGGCTTACTCCGAATCAACTGCAAGTCCAGATACAACAATCAATAGCAATCCAAAATCAGGAGCGCGATTCAGATACGAGTCCGTTATGAGATTCGGCCAATAACGCATTCTAATCTTAATCGAAAATCAACTATTTTAAAAACAAACACAGAGATGAAATGAGAGCGAGAGAGAGTGTGTGTGTATTTATTTGAAAAAAAAAACGAAGCATGAATCGCTTGATGGCCTGCAGTGGCCATTTATCGGTTCAATACTGAGAAGACGGGAATAACTAAGCAAAAACGACTCATTTGTAAAAAGGAAAATCATTATATTTTTCTTTCTCATAGCCTACATAAACGTCATTATTATTAAAACTAACTATCACACAATAACTAAATTTCAATGCGAAAACTACAACAACAATGTTAAAATAATAACAATTGTGGCGTTATTTTCTAAGTTGACAAGGAAATCAGTTTGAGTTTTGTGCAAAGGGTTTGTAATTCGTGTCAGGAAATGGAAAACAATGAAATTGTTGTTTCACAGGCACTTTAATTTCCTGATTTGGATTACAGACGCGCGCACGTTTTGAAATTGGTATTTGTGTGTTATTTTTTTTCTCCCGAAAGAGAAACGGACAAAAATCGGAGATGAGAACATTCAAAACGTCTATTCATTTTATATTGTTGTTTCATAGTAGTTTCTATTTGAAATAATTGGCATCTTAACACATAAGTTTCTGTCCGTAAATCAAAATGAATATAGTCCTAAATCATATAGCATTTTATTTTGATGCGTGTTCTTTATTTTCGGTTTGTAAATTGGCTTCTTGACTTTTTTCGTTCTGGAATATGTTTCGGACGAGAAAAAAAGTTTCCATTTGATTTGAACCATTTTTTTTCACAATCTGTTGATTTGTTATGACAAAACAAAATACATATGCTACATATGCTCACACGGGTTCGATATATAGTTTGCATTTTATTTCGTGTTTTTTTACTACCGTGTTAGACTCATGGAAATTTGTTTTTTTGATTGTCACAAAATTTTCGATTTAAAATTGCAACACATATACGAAGAGATGAAAGAAATGGAGAGGAGAAAAATTTAATTGCACTAGGAACGATTGTAGATATTTAAGTAAATTGTTAAAATAAAACACACAGATTTTTTAAACATTTTTTGGGAATTTGATAGAGGGAGAAGAAAAAAAACAAATCCAGAGAATACCGTTTTTGCAATCTTAAGAATAATTATTACAACAACAACAACAACAACAACAAAAAATACATCGAGTGAAAAACCGATCTAAACTGATCTTTTCTAGACTTTGCCAAGTACAATTTAAACAAAGAAAAAATACATTCTCCTAACAAAAAAAACTTTAAACTTAAAAAAAACAATTTGATGCAATTGAAAATAATCTGATAACAATAAGAATGGAATGTTCACATCGAAGACCGCAATGCTTCTATAGAGGTAAATAAAAGAAGAAGAAAAGAAATAAAACCAGAAAAAAAAAATTCAAATTGAAATAATTTGTGAACGTTAGTCAAACAACAACAACAAGAAAAAACACGAATGAAAAGTAGCTTTGGATTTCCATAACAACCCAAAATCTGATCCGTCTTGAAAATTGCCGATATTTTCAACCCATTTTTGCCGACCCAACCACCATCAGACGTGTGCAAGGGGGGGTATTCCGGTTTTACCCCCCTCTAGGATTCCAAAATGTGGACCCCCCCCCAGCGATTTGGAAAATTTGACACTAGATATAATCGATTTTCAAAAGTGAGGACCTTTTTTTTTTTTTAGGTCTTCACTTGTTTTTTGACACCCAATTGGCAAAATTTTAGACCCCCATTGTGGAATTTTGACTGTGTTACACTAGATAGAATCGATTTTAAAAAGTGAGGACCTTTTTTTTTTTTTTTAAGCCTCACTTTTTTCGGAGACTGGTGTTACACTAGATAGAATCGATTTCCAGACCCCCCCTGGCAAAATCATTTTACCCCCCCTAGAATTTTTGACCTTGCACACGTCTGACCACCATACCCCTCCCTCCCAGAACATCACCTTTTTTTATGATCATGCCCAAAGATTCCATCCCGATTTGATTATGAGCAGCCAACCCATTCGTTTCAACGATAAAACACTCTACATATCAGAGACGAACTTAATACCAAACAAAACCAAATTGTAGCTAAAACAAATATTATTCATTTCAATTTGTATCGCCAAAAACCCTGATAAAAAACATCAACTCCTTTCGGAATTCATCATTATTAAATTACGTACAAGTAGAATTGTTTTTTTTCCCATTTTATTTGTATTTCTTCTCTTATTGTTACGAACGTTCAACAAATCTCTCGGAATAGACATGATATTGGCGACGACGACGATGACGAGAGAAGGCAATTTGAGCTCAGAACGCCTATATACATACTTAATGGGGATTATTCTAAAGTACTTTTATTATGTACAAAAACAAAGAAGAACAAATAAGTAAACATTGTTAAATTCAAACTGAAATTTCAACGAGTTTTTTTGTGTGTGTTCATCGTTTTCCGACGATTTTCAGCTCATTTTTTTCAACCTCAATGAAGATTATTTTTGAATTATTTAAAAAAATGTCCTTCGAAAATTTGAATTTGGAATTGAAAAAAGGCAATTTTTCTTTTAGGACAATTCCTATGGAATTAAAACAATTTTTTTCTTTACAAAATTTCAAAAAAAATTAAATCGTAAATTTTCTTTTCGAAAAATTGATAATTTCAATCGAATCACATGTTGTTCCAAATGTTTTGAAAAATATCCCAACGAGAATTGTTGGCGATGATATTCCGTTTCAAAATGACAGCTCCGATGTTTATATGAAGTGTCAAAAAGTGCACATAACCTTATCAGTTGTTTGTTGACGCAAAATACCGCAACAATGTCTTTCAAATTTGATGGCATTAAATTGGACGATCTGAAGGGGCTGTGGCCGTCGATTCAGCGAAAACTACCACCAGAAGCATTGGCCAAGCTTAAACACCATTTGGAATTGATTATTGCCAACGAGAATGATGTACAAGTCGCGACTTTGATTGACTTCATCCAAAGCTGTTGCGAACACAAACCGGTCAACTTTGAAGAATACGTCGCGTATGTGATGATTGCATCGAGCGTTGAACTGTTGTCGGTTCCGTCATCGCCTCTATTTCGAATGGAAAAGTTTCGTTTAATGGCCCACACATTCAATACATACAATGACTACTGGAGCCATGACGATGAGCATGTGAGTACACGTTAAACTGACATTTTCTATCTAAGCAAAGGTAATCGGTTTAATATCTCAACAATTTCATTGTATTAGGTTATGACTGTAGCTGAAGCGATTTGGAAAGTGTCACCTAGTGCATCGAACATAAATCACATCGTGATCGCCATTCATGGCTACAATCAATTCACATTCAACGTCTCAATTGTTCTACTGCTGGCTGCATTTGGCAGTTTGGTGTCTAAGACAAAATCTAACAAATTACCGCTGCTCGAAGCTGAAGCCGTTTTCAAGAAACTCCAATCATTGGACATTGTCAATGATCACAGCGAAAAGAAAATCATGTTCGATTTTCTGTCGTCATTCCAAAGCTATCAACGACTGATGTGTCTACCGGCGGCCAAGGATACTTGCCTGTCAGAATTGGCTGTCTTCAAACCAGCCCAGTTGGAACAGTTGAAGGAATGCTTGAAAAAGGCAACACAAAGCTTGAACAAAACCATTCGCGACCAGCAAGATTTGAATGAAAATCCATTGGTGAGTCGATTGCCAATTCTATCGGTGAAATAAAAATCTTAAGATCTTGTTTTTTTCTAATTTTTTTGACAGATCGTTCATTCCATCGAGCTGACGATGAACAACATGGACTGCATTCTCCCGACAGCAGGTAGTGGTTGATTACCAGGCGCATACTTTGAAACACAACACTTAGGTTAAGCGAATGCTATAGCAAAGAGAAGTGGATTTTGTTGTTACGAAATCTCGATCTGATGGAAAAGCGACGATCTCACTCGTTTCATAAGCAAATTTTATACAAGTTTCAAATGCTCAGCAATCAATAAAGAACTCCTAAAGTTATTTGTATATTATTCTGTAGCTTTATTCTTCAAAGTTTCCAAAATTGAGATATTTTTTAATAGTTCTTTTCTAAGCTTACGGTAACTATGACTTGTGTGTCAAAAAGTGTTCAATGTTTCTAACAAGCAAAAAGGGTTATCTCTTGAACTAACTACTTTTTTAATAATCGGGTCCCGGTGTGTTCATTACCAAATCTTTATTCAAAGAAGGGTGTAACCTGTACTTGTACGTCAGTAGCATTGAACGCTACATTATCTTGAACAACCGCCAAGACTGACACGTTTGAAAACATTTTGCGGACTTTTTGTAAAAGACTTCGGTAGATTCCATGGCCAAACAATCGAATGATACCAATGTGCAAACAATTGTCCATGATGTGATCGAACAGTTCAAACAGAACTTCACCTTTGCACCAAACACCAAAATCCACCAGGTTTGTGCAATTTTCGAACAAATACTTTGTGTTGCACTTATCGACATCAGCAACAATTAACTGCAACGTAGTCAGCTTCCGAAAACGTGAAACAATGCTTACGAGCTCAACGACAACCTGGCTCGGTTCGACATGAAGATAATCGTTTTCATCATATGATTTAGCCATAAATGGCTGTGACCCAATCGATAGCTCTTGCATTTGTTCGCATAATTTGTCATCTAAGGCCAACAGGAATTTCTTGACACTTTCATTGTAGTAGCCAAACTAGAAGAAAACAATAAAAAAAACTAAATATGATGTATTCAAATAATATGCTTTTGGGTTGCTTACTTTCAACACGGTCAGATGACGAAAGTTATCACCATGGTCCAGAATATTGCCATCAATTCCAAGACTTATGACTTCCAGATGAGTCAGCGACGGGTAGAAAACTGAGCGCAAAATTTCATAGCGTACTGCGTACGATGATGGATCAGCGCGTTCGCAAACTGATAAACTTGTTTTAAACGTTAACTTCTTCAGTGATAGCCACTCGTAGTTCTCTTGAATCGCAAGATTTTCAACACTTTCATTTGTTGCAAGTACAATGGTTAGTTCATTTAAATTGCTACAGTACTGATTGATGCGTCGCCACAGTTCCTCGAACTCGTTTCGTGCCAAATACCAGAATTGGCTGAGTTTCATCGACCGGATCTGCTTTCCCAAACACCACAAAACGCTCTCAGCGAGTCCTCTTGAAGTATGACTGGCGCAAAAAACATTTTCGCTGTAGAAGGTTTCGACTGCTTTGCGAGTTCGTTGGCAAGTGTCATACAATACGCAGTGGTGTTTTGGCTTGAGGAACTCGATGATTTTGGCCAAACAAGTGTCATTCAAATCCGAAAAATTGGTTGTTGGCTGGTCACCGTCGGTAGCATCATGCTTGTAGACGATGATCTTGTTACGCTGTACCTCTCCTTTCACAATAACTATCACATCTTTATGCCCTTTGAGCACAACCATTTTGATTTCGAGCATTATTTCGTCAGCGATGTGGGCAAGTAAATCGTTGCTCAACTCTGAAAAATCGGGATCAATCGTTTGAATTGTGAGTTTGGGAATGCGTTTGCAGATGGAAGCTGTTCGTGTAAAATCTTCGTAGATTCCCGAAGTGGCAGCAGTGTGGTTTAGACGAAGTGTTGATGAATTTGACAATCGTCGGACCAGTGACTCAAGTTGGTCAAGCTTCAAACCATTCGCATTGATTTCCAGCCAATTGAGTGTATTTAACTTACACATAATGCTGATCATTTCGCTGGTCCATAGCATTTCATCATCCCATGTCATGATTTCTAATTTGCGTATGTTTTTGCACTTGTTCTGGATTGCTCTAAGAAATGGTACGTAGTCATCGACCTGCACTTCTATGAGGTGTACTTCTTCCCGACAGCAGGTGCCTGGTAGGGGTTTATTAAGCGAATGTCATAGCAAAAAGAAGTGGATTTTATTGTTACGAAATTTCGATCTGATAGAAAATCGACTATCTCACTCGTTTTATTAGCAAATTTTATACATTTTGCAAAGGAAAAAATGGTTATATGGAATATTTCAACTGCTCAGCAATTAATAAAGAACTCTTATTCGTATATTATTCTGTATTTTTATTCTTCAATGTTTCCAAAGTTTCAATATTTGTAAATAGTAGGCTTACGACAAGTATCATTTGTGTGTAAAAGGTGTTCAGAATAATGTTTCTGACCATCACGGCGTGTTTTCTCTTAAAAATACTTGTTTCTTCTAATAATATAGTTCTGGCATGTTCATACCCAAGTCTTTATAAGAAGGATGTTCATCAGTAACTTTGAATGCTACATTATCTTGAACAGCCACTTCGACTGAAACGTTTGGAAACATTTTGTGGAATTTTTGCAGAAGACTTCGGTAGATTCCATGTCCAAACAATCGAATCGTACCAATGTGCAAACAATTGTCTAAGATAAGCATGCCAGATCGCCCGAATTTATCCGGGTTTGTATTAAATGAATTCTAACTATTTTTTCTCCCGAAACTTTATTGTTGTGGAGTTCATATGGAGAGAGGAAGTTACAAGGAAGTTTTCTGCCCGATCAGATTTTCCAAAAAAGGTCCTGGAGCCAGGATATGGATTCATGAAAAGGAAAATGGTCATTTTCAGTACATTATTTTATTTTACGAAAATATTGAATATTTTCCGAGTTTTTCAAGATTTTCCAACCATTTTCATTTTATGGATGTATGATCATTAACTAAAAACGAATTCGTGAAAATTTTCCGGAAAATTTGAAATCCTGGAAAAAAATTTGAAAATGAGGAACATTTTCCAAATCGCCATAGAGGGAAAACGGAAAATCGCGGAAAATTGAGGCATGTCTCATTCGATCGGGCGGAAAATTTTATGGATCTGGAGGGTGAAAAAAACAACCATTTTCCTAGCCGTTTTCGAGTTAAAAGAGAAAAACGTGAAAAAATCCGGGTTTCGCCCGGGTTTTTGTCCAAATTTTCTGGCATGCTTAGTCTAAGATGTGCTTGAATAGATCATCAGATAGAAGCTGAGGAACTTGGCACCAAACGCCAAAGTGCACCAATTTTGTACAATTTTCAAATAAATACTTCGTATTGCATCGATCGACACCAGCAACAATTAACTGCAACGTAGTCAGCTTCCGAAAACGTGGAACAACACTAACGAGCTCAGCAATGTTTCGAATCGATTCATCATCTGCGTCTGATTTGCTCATAATGAGCTGTGACCCAATCGATAGCTCTTGCATTTGTTCGCATACATTGTCATCTAAGGCCAACAGGAATTTCTTGACACTTTCGTTGTAGCAACCAAACTGAAAAGAAACAATAGGAGAACTGAATATGCTATGTTTCATTGAAATACAATTGGATTGCTTACTTTCAACACGGTCAGATGACGAAAGTGATCACCATGGTCCAAAATATCGCCAACGATTTGTAGACATATGACTTCCAGATGAGTCAACGATGGACAGGAAAACGAGCGCAAAGTTTCATACCTTACTGACGGTGTTCTGTCGAAACAGTTATTACCCGCGGAAAATATCAACTCTTTCAACTTTGGCCATACACAATCCGGTGGAATCATACAAAATTCATCCAAAACATAAATGGTCAACCTAATTAAATTAATACAATATTGATTTATACGTCTCCATAGCTCGTCATAGTCGTTGCGTGTTGGAAGGCATTGTTGACCGAGTGCCATTGATTGGACCTCCTTTCCTAAGCACCATAAATAGCTTTCGTTGAGTTCTTTTGAAGTAAAACGGGCATAAAAAAATGCTTCGGAATAGTAGTCTCTGATTGCTTTTCGGGTTCGTTGGCAAGTGTCGTACAATGCGCAGTGGTGTTTTGGCTTGAGGAACTCGATGATTTTGGCCAAACAAGATTTAAATCCAAGAAATTTGTTTCTAACTGGTTGCCGTCGGTAGCATCATGCTTGTAGACGATGATCTTGTTACGCTGTACCTCTCCTTTCACAATAACTTTCACATCTTTATGCCCTTTGAGCACAACCATTTTGTTTTCGAGCATTATTTTGTCAGCGATGTGGGCAAGTAAATCGTTGCTCAACTCTGAAAAATCGGGATCAATCGTTTGAATTGTGAGTTTGGGAATGCGTTGGCAAATTGAAATTGCGCGTGTGATATCTTCGTAGATTTCCGAAGTGGCAGCAGTATGATTTAGACGGAGTGTTGATAGGTTTGGCAATTGTCGCACCAGTGAATCAAGTTGGCTTAGTTTCAAACCATATGCATTGATTTCCAGCCAATTGAGTGTAGACAATTTGCATAAAATGCCGACTATTTCGCTGCTCAACAACAATCTTTTATTCCGTGTCTTGATTTTCAATTTGCGTATTTCTTTGCAGTTGTTTTCGATTGCTTCTAGAAATGGGACGTAGTCATCGTCCTCTACGTATGTGAGATGTATTTTTTCCAATTGAGTATTTGTGTTGATGAAATCAACGATATCCTGTTGCTCAAATTCGTACAGATCATCTACACAGAGGTGGATCAAATTTGGGTGTCGATATTCTGACCAATTTGTATTGGCAGGGACTATATTTGTCAGTCGGAGATGTGTAAGTGATGGCTTTGGAAACGATTGAAACATCTTCAACAAATCCAATCCATCACCTTCGTCGATTGCCATCTTTGACAAGTTGGTACAGAAACGTCGAATCATTGCAAAAATCCAATGGTCACGAGCTGCATTACCCTCAGAAAACCGAATCTCAATTGCAATCATATGCTCGCCAAATGTACTAAAGAACGGCTGGTATTGTTTGCGCTCGACGATCAAATTTTCCTGAAATACTCTGACTGCGAAATACTTGCTTTCGTTTGTGCCATTGTACTTCGTTGTGAACGCTCGTTTGGCAATGGCTTTGAAACGCTTGCAAACACGCGTCATATTCAGCAAAGTGGTGTCGTTCAAATGGATCGTGATATTCAATAAGACCTCGTCTGGGAAATCCAACAATTCCATTTCCTCAGGGACTGTGGCTTCTGTCGATTCCTCCATTTTCTCCATCTTGTTTGATGCCTGCAACGGAATACACAATCAAATTGGCAACGAAATACTTTTCGGTTGAAAATACAAAGCGATTAGAAATTTCATAACAAAATATCTGCCGCAGAATGACTACTGCTACGCAAATGTATTTCTCCATTTTTTAGTGCTACGTCTTCATCGATCATAACTTTAAAAAATTTCTTTCTTTTACATCGTACTTACGCGTCGATTTCTGTACCTTTTTTTTCTGACTGGTTCACTATTAGTGCGACGATAATAACATCAATTCTGGCTCTTTCCACAGTGTTTTCGCTGTTGTTATCGCTATTTCGATTGACATTACGGCGCAACGAACAATGTGACATTTTCGTCCCCAAAACGTTCAATCAACATGCAAGCGTTGATTCGTTTAATGCAAATCGCCAATATGAAAAAAGCGTGATTCGTTCCAAGCGATCAGTTCAATATTCAAATTTAAAAAAAATGCGCCAATGGAGAACATTTTCGGTGGATAATATCTGAAAAATCATAAAAGTTTTTCAAAGAAACCAAACATTTGTAATGAAAATTTATTTATTAAATGATTTAATTCTAACGCTAAAAAATCAATGATTTTGAAACATATTAAATTAATCTGTTTACATATTATTCTGTACTTTCATTCATCAAAAGTCTTTAATGTTTTAAACATTTTAATATTCTTTTGGTAGAAATAAGCGGAAAACTTATTGTTTTAGTCGGGTCTTACGGTCTGTATCTGACCAGCAGAATATTCTGCTTTTCTCCTAATAATAATTATTTGTGTCTAATAAAACGGTTCTAGCACGTTCATAGCCAAGTTGTCACAGGAAGAGTGTTCATCAGTAACTTCGAACGATATATTGTCTTGAACGGCCACTTCGACTGAAACATGTGGAAGAATTTTGCGTACTTTTTTTAAGATGTATCCGAAAATTCCATGACCAAACAATCGAATGGTTTCAATGTGCATACAATTGTCCTTTATGTGTACGAACAGATCGTCAGATAGAAATTGGGATCCTTTGCACCAAAAACCAAAATGCACCAAATTTGTGCAACTTTCAAATAAATACTTTGTATTGCACTGATCGACACCAGGAACAATTAACTCCAATTCGATTAATTTCGGAAAACGTGGAACTATTCTAACGAGCTCAACGACAATACGTCTAGGTTCATCATCAGCATCTGATTTAGCCATAATGAGTTGTGACCCAATCAATAGCTCTTGCATTTTTTCGCACACATTGTCATCTAAGGCCAACAGGAATTTCTTGACACTTTCGTTGTAGTAGCCAAACTGAAAAAAAAACAATAAAAGAACTAAATATGCTTTAATTCATTGAATATGCGATTGGGTTGCTTACTTTTAATACGGTCAAATGACGAAAGTGATCACCATGGTCCAAAATATCGCCATCAATTTGAAGACTTATGACTTCCAGATGAGTCAACGATGGACAGAGAAATGAACGCAAAGTTTCATAGTCGACTGCATACGATGATGGATCAGCGAATTTGTAAGCTGAGAAACTAGTGGAAAACGTCAACTTGTTCAACTTTGGCCATGCACAGTCCGGTGGAATCATGTTAATGTTATCAGTATTTTTTGTGTCAATGTAAATGATCAAATGGTTTAAATTGATACTATATCGATTTATACGCCTCCATAACTCTCCATGATCGTTTTGTGTAGGAATCCTCTCTTGGTCGAGTCCCAAAAATTGGATCTCCATTCCCAAGCACCACAAAAGATTTTCGGTGAGCTCTTGCGAAGTGAAATGGACATGCAACCAATTTTCGGAATAGTAGTCTGTGATTGCTTTGCGGGTTCGTTGGCAAGTGTCGTACAATGCGCAGTGGTGCTGTGGCTCTAGTAATTCAACGATTTTGGCCAAACAAATGTCATTCAGATCCAGGAAATTAGTTGATGATTCGGTATAGTCAGTGGCATCATGCTTGTACACGATGATCTTGTTACGCTGCACCTCTCCTTTCACTATGATTATTTTATGCTTGTCCTCTTCCAGCACTATCATTTTGTTTCCCAGCACTATCTCGTCAGCGATGTGAGTAAGTAAATCGTTGCTCAACTTTGAAAAATCGGCATCATTCGTTCGAATCATGAGTTTGGAAATGCGTTGGCAAATTAAAGTTGTTCGTGTGAGATTTTCGTAGATTTCCGTAGTGGCATTAGTGTTGTTTAGACGGAGTGTTGATAGGTTTGGCAGTTGTCGCACTAGTGAATCAAGTTGGCTAAGCTTCAGACCATGCGCATTGATTTCCAGCCAATTGAGTGTGGTTAATTTGCATAAAATGCTGATCATTTTGCTGTTGACGATTTTAGGCGACACATCTCGATTCAATCCAATGATTCCCAACTTTCGAATGTTTTTGCACTTGTTTTCGATTGCTTTGAGATATGGTGCGTAGTTGTCGACCACATATTTGAGATGTATTTCTTCCAATTGAGTATTGGTGCTGATGAAATCAACCATTTTCTGCTGTCCGATTCCGATATCCATATGGAAGTAAATCAAATTTGGGTGTCGATATTCTGACCAATTTGTATTGGCATGTCTTGTATATGACAAGGTCAGATGTGTCAGTGATGCATTCGGAAGTGATTGAAACATTTTCAACAGATCAACATCATCACCTCTTCCAATATCCATCTTTGACAATTTGGTGCAAAACCGTCGAATCATGGCAAAAATCCAATGGTCGTGAGCTACGGCTAGTCCAAAATGACCATCAGAAAATCGAATGCACATAGCAACCATATTCTCGCCAAATGTACTAAACAACGGTTGGTATTGTTTGCGTTCGATGATCAGATTTTCATGGAATATGTTGACTTTGAAATACTTTGTATCGTTTTTGCCGTTGTACTTCTTTGTGAACGCCTGTTTGGCAATGGCCTTGGAACGTTTGCAAACGCGTGTCATATTTAGCAAAGTGGTGTCATTCAAATGGATCATGATATTCAATAAGACCTCGTCTGGGAAATCCAACAATTCAATTTCTTCGGGGACTGTGGCTTCTGTCGATTCCTCCATTTTCCCCATCTTATTTGATGCCTACAACTGAATACAAAATTAAATTGGCAACGAAATACGTTTCGGATAGAAATTCTTCTCATGAACGATACTCTGTTGACGACAAAGATGACAAAATGATTATACATTTCATAACAAAATGTCTACCGCAGAACGACTACTAGCTACAAAAATTTATTTCTTCATTTGCAGTGCCACGTTTTGATCGATCATGATTTTACAAAGAACTCCTTTTTTCAAATCATACTTACGTGTCGATTTGCGTAGTTTTTTTTATAGGTTCACCGTTGTTGCGAACAAAAAATCTAGAATAAAAAATGATTCTGATAAACAACAATCCATTCGCTAGATTCTTTTCACAGTGGCTTTGCTGTTGTTATTGATATTTCGACTGACATTTCAGCGTGTCGAACAATGTGACATTTCCGCCACCAAAACGTTCAATCAATATGCGAGCATTGATTCGTCTAATGCAAATCGTTAATCTGAAAGCGAGCTCAGTCTATCCATAAGAAGCTGAATCCAATCCATGGAAGCGATCAGTTCTATTTTAACGTTGCAGCTAGGGTCTTTCGAGACCGATTTTTATCTTTTGTTTGAATGCGATTCTTTTTTAGAATATGCGTCTGAAAATAAACAATTTTGAATTTTCCCTTGTATTTTATTTTTTTTCTCGAATTCTTGGAAACTCCTGGACAATTATATCCTTGAGACACAGCTAGTTTTAGTTCTCAATGCTCAATTCAAAAATCATTAACCCTGCTTTACTCTCCAAGTCCTTGATATGCCTGCCGAATCGGCCCATTCTCCCTATTTTATCCGATCTAAATAGATCACTATCATTTCGGTTATTGTTTTAAATTTTTCATGGAGTGTATCTAGCTTCTTCTCCCTTGAAGCCTGTATGCGGCACTTGATGTAGACGTGCTGGCTACTGTTTTTTTTTCTCTAGTTGGTCCAGCTACTGGTATCACACTTCCATTTCTTCTGGAATACCCAGTATATGGACTGGCTCTAATGGCGCTCCTTAATGGACCTGCCCTTGATAGTCCTGGATTTGAGTTGTTCGGAACAACAACATGTTTCCTGAGGATGTGTCATCTATTCTACCGTTTACGAATTGTGGTCATCGAAAGATGTGAAGAGAGTTTCACGGGAATCTTATTTTTAACGTTGTTCACGTCAGTCTGACCTTTGTTTATGAATATTTTCTATGTCTATATTGGTATCATCTTGGGATCAAAAGAAACTCAAAATCGATTGGTGAGTGGAAACTCTGCCCACTTTCTGTTGAGTAAGAATTGGCTCGCGATCGTACTTGCCTATTAAATTCTAAAATTAGCTCACACACTTCGTCACCACCTCATTTCGGAAAGTTGCTCTCTGAGCGTGGTTCAAGTAACCACTTGAGGTGTGTTATAATTCACAATCTATTTTTGAACCACGTTTGGCTCTTGTGCTATGCTCAGATGTTGTGATATCCTATATACATGCTTTTACAGAAACAATGCTTTTCGTGATTTTATTGGACTTTTTTATTTTAATTTTTTTTAGCCGTTATAATTGTTTGGGAAAAAAGCTTACATTGAGGCAGGTTTGATCTTTCCGAAAGTTTTACATTCTATAACTTGAAAAATGGAAAATTTTCAGTTCTTCAATAAAATCTTAACTCTACTAATGCAGAATAACTGATAAATATACCAAAATTTCTTGCGAAAAAAGGATAAAATTGCGCTTAAATACTTTATACCGATAATTTAGTTATAGTTTGCTTGTCAATTCATCATTTCAAAACGACTGTTTTTGATTTCTGATCAATTAATAAAACACTCGACTAGTGATGGGCAATATTTACCCACCCGAATAAATACCGGGTATTTACCGGGTATTTATCGGGTATTTACCTGAAGGGCTGAATAAATACCCAAAAATGGGTATTTATGGGTATTTTTAAAATAGGTGATTTCTTTGAATTTTTGTTGAATTCAATTCAGATTATTCAAGTTTCAGCTGTTTTTGTACGATAATGTAGCGTAATATCCAAGTTGGTCTCATTGGCACCGAAAAATAACCGCATATTCACACATTTGGTTGTGTTGCTCATGCACTGAATTTACTTTCCTCGAGCGAAAATTTTTCAAAGCAAAAAAAGTCACGAATAAAATAAAAATGCCACGTCCTATATAGCTTATCAGCCAAAAGCAACGTGAAATGGAGACCCAAGTGACTCTTAAACTACCCTCTGAAACTCGATGGGTATACGAACTACAGGCTCTCGAATCGTTGATCGCAAAAAAAGAAATTTTACGGTTAATGGTAGCTGATCCAGATATTTCAGCCGATTTTGATTAAATAAACGCGAACGATGAAGAACCAGAATTGCCAGGCGATGTGAAAATATTCATATTGGACGATCAATTTTGGTTGAAATTTGAAGGACCTCACGAAATATTGAACACAATTGGAAACTGATGACGTAGATATTCATAAATCACATAAACTATTGAGCAATATGTTTGCAACAGTGGATTCGTTGGCTAAATCTTCGAATGTTTTTAATGCTTGTAATTAAAAAAATGCTGACAAATCTGTTCAAGAGCGCAAATATAAAATAATGAAACCGATCATGATAGGTGCAGCATTAGTTTTATTGTTTTATCAGCCAAAAAAGTAAAACTCGACGAAGAAGCGGTGATGACTCAATTGATAAATTATTGAGTAAAAGCAAAAATTTGGGGCACGGACTTCGTTTGAGTCTCTTGTGCAAATGTTAGTCCATTGGTTTGGTGAAAATCATTTTTTGCTCTTGATAAAATAGCAGAAAAAATTCTCACGATTTCATTGACTTCTACACAAACAGAAAGTACATTTGGTTCATTCACAGTGTGAATTTCAGACACAGAAAGGAAATCGTTTGACAACGGAAACATCGGGTATAATTATGAACATCGCACACAACTATAAGTTGATGCAGGCTACAAGTAGAAAGCGAAAGAATGAAGAAGCAAGCACCAACACCAGTACCAGTTCAAAGCGAACGTGACATGATAAAAGTTCAGAAAAAAGTTTAGATGACAATTAAAATGAAATTTCTGTGTCTTTCATTCATATTATTACTTTTTAACAGTTTTTTATTAAAATTTTGCTACTTTTGTGGCTAAATACAATTTCGTCTATAAAAATGACAAAATCGTCTATAAAATTGACAAAATCGTCTACTGAAAAATTGTCACTTTTTTTACAAATTCGTCTATATTTTATGACAAAATCATCTAAAATTCTGACAATTGTTTTTGTGACAAAATCGTTATTAAAAAAGACAAAATCGTCTAAATTTGCAATTTCCGAAAAAAATGACAAAAACATCTAAAAACCTCCAAAATCGTCTATGGACAAAACACGTATTAAAAGTGACAAAATCGTCTAAATTTGCAATTTCCGAAAAAAGTGACAAAATCGTCTAAAAACCTCCAAAATCGTCTATGGACAAAACGCGTATTAAAAATGACAAAATCATCTACATTCACCATTGCAAATTTTTATTCCGAAAATACGAAACTACTGCAGTAGTTGGAATTGTATCAATGCCAAACGATGTAATGACGGGCAGTTTCTTATGATAATATCCAGAAGTTTGACACTCGGTGCATTGAATGACGCTGAATCGATTCGCAAGGAATGAATGCTCGCACAGAATGTCATCAATAGGCTGCGAAACTCCCTCCAGCGTATGCAGTAGTCAATTTGTGTCAATTAGAATTTATTTTAACAATAAGCATTAAGTTCTGCGCTCCATTCATTGAGTTTCAGTCGAGCAAAAAGGGGGAATTGATATTTTGAACAAACATTTTCTCATAAATATACAATTATACGAATTTGTGGAAATAAAAACGAGTTTGAAACCATTTTTCAAAAAAATTGGTGAATGTAGATGATTTTGTCATTTTTAATGGGTTGTTTGTCCATAGACGTTTTTGTCACTTTTTTCGAAATTGCGAATTTAGACGATTTTGTCATTTTTAATACGCGTTTTGTCTATAGACGATTTTGGAGGTTTTTAGATGTTTTTGTCACTTTTTTCGGAAATTGCAAATTTAGACGATTTTGTCACTTTTAATACGGATTTTGTCACAAAAAAAATTGTCAGAATTTTAGATGATTTTGTCATATTTTGGAAAAAAATTTAGACGATTTTGTTACATTTTTAGATGGTTTTGTCATAGACGTTTTTGTCATTTCATTAGACGATTTTGTCAATTTTATAGACGTTTTTGTAAGCAGCCTTTCGAAAATACCCATAAATACCCAACAAATCGGGTATTTACCCGGTATAAATGGGTATTTACCCAAGAAATTTACCCAAATTTAAATACCGGGTCAATTGCCCATCACTACACTCGACAAATGATTAATCAAATATTTCAATATTCTTGAATAATTTAGCTTGAGCCTACGGTTAGTATCATATGTGTGTCGATGCGTTAAAAAGTATTCAATAAACTATTTCTGGCTCAATTGTCTTAAATCTAACTATTTTTTTTTAATAATCCGAATCTGGGATGTAGCTTGATAGAACTGGATCATTATCAGTAACCGAGAACGCTATGTTGTCCTGAATAGCGACCTCGACTGAAGCATTTGGGAACATTTTGCGGACTTTTTGTAAAAGACTTCGGTAGATTCCATGGCCAAACAACCGAATGGTACCAATCTGCAAACAGTTTTCCATGATATGCTTAAACAGACCATCAGATAGATATTTATCTTTGCACCAAACGCCAAAATGCACCAGTTTTGTGCAACTTTCGAACAAATACTTGGTATTGCACCGATTGACACCAGGAACAATTAACTCCAATTTGGTTAATTTCCGAAAACGTGGAACAATGCTTACGAGCTCAACGACAATCTGGCTCGATTCGTCATCATCATTCGTTTCATTATCATCTGCATATGACTCTATAATGAGCTGGGACCCAATCGATAGCTCTTGCATTTGTTCACATACCTTGTCATCTAAGGCCAACAGGAATTTCTTGACACTTTCGTTGTAGTAGCCAAACTGAAAGAAAACAATAGAAGAACTAAACATGCTTTGATTCAATGAATATGCAATTGGGTTACTTACTTTTAATACGGTCACATGACGAAAGTGATCACCATGGTCCGAAATATTTCCATCAATTTGTAGACTTATGACTTCCAGATGAGTTAACGATGGACAGAAGAATGAACGCAAAGTTTCATAGCTTACTGCATACCATGATGGATCAGCGTGTTCGTAAAACGAAAAATATGTGGTAAACGTTATCCTCATCAATGATGGCCACTCACAGTCCACCTGAATCGCAAAATTATCACCAGTGCTATTTGTCCCAATAACGATGGTTAGTTCGTTTAAATTGGTACAGTACTGATTGAGGCGTTGCCACAGTTCTTCGAACTCGTTTCGCGTTGAAAACCAGCAATGGCTGAGCTTCATCGACCGAACCTGCTTCCCCAAACACCACAAAGTGCTCTCGGTGAGTTCTTTTGAATCAAAACGGGTGCAAAACATGTTCTCGCTGTAAAAGTTTTCGACTGCCTTGCGAGTTCGTTGGCAAGTGTCATACAATGCGCAGTGGTGTTTTGGCTTGAGGAACTGGATGATTTTGGCCAAACAATCGTCATTCAGATCCAAGAAATTTGTTGCTGGCTGGTTATCGTCGGTAGCATCATGCTTGTTCACGACGATCTTGTTACGTTGCACCTTTCCTTTTACAATAACCGTCCTATCTCGAAAGAAAATATCATCAAGCACAACCATTTTGTTTTCGAGCATTATTTCGTCAGCGATGTGGGTAAGTAGCTCGTTGGTCAATTTTACGAAATCGGGATCTTTGGTTCGAATTATGAGTTCGGGAATGCGTTGGCAAATTGAAACTGCGCGTGTGACATCGTCGTATATTTCCGAAGTGGCAGTAGTGTGGTTTAGACGAAGTGATGATAGATTTGGCAAGCCTCGTACTAATGATTTAAGTTGGTCAAGCTTCAAACTTTGCGCATTGATTTCCAGCCAATTGAGTGTGGACAACTTGCGTAAAATACCGATTGTTTCAATGTTCCACAACATTTCTCGATTAAATTCCATGATTTCCAATTTGCGAATGTTTTCGCACTTGTTTTCGATTGCTTTGAGGATTGGTACGTAGTTATCGACCTCCACATTACTGAGATGAATTTCTTCCAATTGAGTATTTGTGCTGATGAAATCAACGATTTCCTG